GAAATACTCCGTATTAGTTTTAGTAAATGCACAGAGTAATACTCCGTATTAGTTTTAGTAAATGCACAGAGTATAGATCGTTGGTGTATATATGTTTGAATAAAGTTCTCATATGTTAAAAATTAATTTTAGTTTTTATGTTTGACTGACATTTTATAGTTCAACTGTACAAATAATGCTTTTCAAATTCGTCGATTCTTTAATTAATTAAATCATATAGTTACTTTTACTTTTGCTTATATTTGAGGATTTGATTAGTCAAATGAATTAAGGGGAATGAGGAGCATTTTTTGTAAGAACTATAGCTTTTATAATCCACTTCATTAAGTTAATAACTTTGACTTATTAATTATTAAATTGCATTATAAAAAGTAATGCTTAGAAATTGCTAACACTGTATTTCGTACTGCTTCGTAGTAGTTTTTTTTTTTTTGAGAAAGATGGTTTATATTAAATCAACCGAACTTAAGCAAGTTAGGATGTTTTTACTTGGGCTGTAATTTGCTGATCTGTAATTTGTTAGTCTGATCTAGTCTGATTTGATCTGATCTAGTCTAATCTGGTAAAACAGAATTAAACAAAATTAAACAACTTAGAAAGAGTAAAACAGAATTAAATAAAGTAAACTTATGGAGCAACTGAATCCGTACTTCAGGCGTCATCCTCCATGGCGACGGTTCGGGGGGGGGGGGGGGGGGGGTAGCATCAAACTTTCATCTTCTTCCTCCAACATCTGAATCTAGAATTCTACATGCCACTTCAAACAAAGCCTTCCACTCAATCGTAGTGAATAGTGGTGATGATAATTTAATTGTGGTTGTTTCTCAAACTTGTAAAACTAATGATGTGAATGAATCGGTGGTAGACTCCGAGGCTACCAAGCATATTTGTAAAAACAAAAATGTTTTTACCTCCTATACTATTATTGGAGATGGTGAAGAGCTCGTGTACCTAGCAGACTCTAAAACCGTTAAGGTGCATGCAAAGGGAAAGTTCTAGCTTCTGAAGAACACATCGGAGAAAACGTTATCACTAAATGATGTGCTTCATGTGCCCGAGATTCGGACTTATTTAGTTTCTGTTTATCTCTTGGGAAAAGTTGGGGTTAAAGTTTCTTTTGGTTGCGACAAATTTGTTATGACAAGAAATGACGTTCTTGTGAGAAATGACTATTGTAAGAATGGAATATTTGTGCTTAGTAATTCTGAACTATTGCATGATGATGCTTCTGCTTATTTGATTGATTCTTATGATGTGTGGCACGCTAGACTAGGACATATATGCAAGTAACTCTTATATTAAAATGTTAAATAATTGTGGTTTGATTTCTAGTAAAAATAAAATGACACTAGAAAAAAGTGATGTTTGTGCTCAATCTAAATTAACCAAAAAAAAATCCTTCTACATATATGGAATCGGAATTGCTTATTTTAATTCACACGGATTTAGGTGATTTAAAAATTACCATGACTAGAGGTGGGAAAAAAATGTCACATTTATAGATGATTTTTCTAGATACACTAAAGTTTATGTGCTTATTAATACAGATGAGGCTTTTGATAAATCTTTAGTGTATAAATATGAGGTAGAAAAATCAATTAAGAGAGTTAGACCGGATATAGGGGACGTGTATATTTTATTTAATGATTTCTGTGAATTTTAGAAGGGTCATGCACATGTTTTTAAATATCTAAAATTGCGGGGGCGCTTAGCTAAATTTTTATTACCTGTCCCATTGAGTGAAAATGAGCTTTATAACTTTTGGCTACCTTTGCATAAATTGAAACAATGGAGCACATATGTGACTTTCATAAATTGAAGAAGCCATGTGCTAAGGTGCAATACTTTAAGCTATTTCATTGTTGATATTAATGTAATCGTTTTTGGAGAATGTGTGCACACTATATGTTGTTGAAACAAAAATGATGAATTTTCTGAAAATGTGTTTCCTTTGAAATTTGAACACAAGACCATTGCACCATATAGTGAGTGTGATCCATATAGTGATAGTGATCCATTAAAAGAAAATGATTCTTATAATGATGAACTTTCTCTTATGAGAAGAAGTAAGAAGCCAAAGATAGAGATTTTTTTTTTTAAAATAATTTTTATACATGTCTTATTAATGAAGAACTTTTGACATATTCACAAGCTATTTCTCCATCAACAAAAAAACATTTTGGCTTGAGGCCATACAAACTAAAATTGTTTCTATTCACAAACTTTTTATTCATCAAATGGATGTTAAAACTGCGTTTTAAATGGTGAGTTAGAGGAAGAAATTTATACGGTGCAACCGAAGGGTCATGTGATTAGCGGTCAAGAACACAAAGTGTGTATGCACTGAATGTGAAATGGTGTGTGCATTATTATTTGCTTGTATGTAGATGATATGTTGATTTTACTCATTTTAGTATGAAAGAATTGGTGGGTAGCAAAAGTGATTTGGGTATGAAAGTCATAGGAAGGATTATGGTATTATAATATCTCAAGCATTATGTTGATAAACCTTTAAAGAGGTTTGGACGTTTCAATATCATCCCTGTGAGTACCCATTATGACTCTCATATACACTTGAAAAAAATAGGTGATCTCGAGGCTCAATATCACTGATAGGTGGATGCAAATATGCAATTCATTTTTTTTGAAAGGCTAATTTAATGTATTATTGAAAAATGCATTGTATTTGAATTAGGCGAGTAAATGTAATTAATAATAAACAGTAAAGATAAAACAGGTAAAATATAAGGGTCCCTAAATACGTATGTTCCAACTTCCAAATAATTTATGCCTTTTAGATCAACTATTTATTTACACGGGAAAAGTAAGAGCATACTAAAAAATGGACAAATAAGATGTATAACCAGGTTTTTTAGGTTGACAAATTTTTTTTGCATACATAGGAAAGGATTTCATTTCATTCGACAATATGATCAACCGGAGAATACACTTTCTTATTTGTATTTGCTTACAAATCAGAAGATGGAGGAGATGAATGAGTATACGGAAAGAAGATGAATGGAGGCATCATATAAAAATATGTAGATGTTAAGATGGAGTTAGATTAAAAATTGATGATGGATGGTCCAACTAGAGCTCGATTGATAATCCTTATTTTCAACCCTATTAGTTTTTTTATCACATAATTTTTATTTCACATGTTGAATTGTTAAATTATCTATCAAAATAAGACTGAAGTTACTTTTGAATTGACCGAAATTATCATAGATGATTTTTTTATTTACCATATATGACTATTATAACTATTTTTCATCTACTAATAATCAAATACTCCATGTATAACTTTTTTTTCATAATTCGGCATATTCATCCAATTCAATCACTCCAATCGTCATTTCATCAATTTAAACAGATTCAATAGATTCAGTCAATTTTAGTACTCCGTATTACCAAAGAGACCCTAAATTGCTAAAAAACGAGTGAACATTTTCTATATTCAAGAAAGGAAGGTGTACGTATTATTATAGGGTAAAATAGGAGAAGAAGAAAATCCTTGTTTGGAGATTAAAAAAAAATATTACTCCGTGTTACTCTGATTTACTTCTATCAAAGACTTTCAAAACACAAAAACCATATGGATCTTGGGTGATTGATAGGTTAAGAACATTTCTTTCTCTTTACTGGAAAATTAAACAATTTTGATTTGCGTGTTGAATACAAAATTAAATTTTGCAATTAGAAGGTTGTTGGCTCATAGACATATCCAAAGTAATAGGGGTGGGAAAAACCCAACCGAAACCCGAAAACCGGCCCTCGACCGACCCGAATTATGATCCTGGTCCGGGTTTTTTCTTTCTAACCGGCCCGAATTAAATAAAACCCGGACTGAACCCGAAATTCCGGGCTCATTAATGAGCCTTAAAATCTATAATGCGGTCCAGACCGATAAAAACCCGAAACAATTAGCTTTAATATAAAATTAATATAATATATGAATATAAATTTATAAATATTTCCTAATATATGATTATAATCACGTTGGATAAAAAAAATGATTTAGTAACTTTTAGTGATTACAAATATGCTCAATTTGTTTAGCGTAATGACCGAGAAAATATATGTATAGCAACTCTAGTCACATTTTTATCTATAAATTTTATTTTGTAATATTTTTAAGAAACCTATATTATTTATTTATATGCATCTTAAATAAAATATTAAGATAATTATCCTCTTTGGATTTGAATTGTTGGTGATTTTGGAAACTATTATTTCTGTTATTATTTGTGGTTTGTATTTTTGGTTAATTTTATTAGCAAATAGGTGTTAAAATATAAAACAACAATGAGATATTTCCCGTTCAGGTTTTAACCGACCCAACCCGAACCCGGACTGAACCCGGGCTACCAAAAACCCGACTCATACCGAATATAATGGGCTTTGTCCTCGTCTCTAATTTTCATAACCCGAGACCTTACGAGTAATTTTCGGGTTTAGCGAAAACTCGACCCAGACCGGACCGATCACACCCCTACAAATTAAGGAGAGACAGATCCACAAGTATATACGAAGTACGAGGAATGATCTTGTCCAGCACGTTTTTGTCCGAACGCCGTCCGAACATGGCCATTTGGGACCCTTCCCGGTGGAATTTTTTGATGAAATTGTTTGAGCATGTTCCTCATCAAGTCTAGTTTGTCCATACCAAATTTCAGCTCAAAACTCGACCGGGAAGGCATTCAAATCATTTTATGAAGTTGACTGCGTATTTTATATGTATATTTTGATTTTTGACGCAGTCAACTTCAACAAATTATGTGAATGTCTTCTCGATCGAATTTTGAGCTGAAATTTGGTATGGACAAACTAGACATGATGAGGAATATGCTCGAAAAATTTTATCAAAAAATTCTACCGGAAAGGGTCCCAAATGGGGATATTCGGACGGAGGGTCCTGTCCGAACGTTCGGACCTGAACTTTTCTGTACGAAGTACTAAGTATATGATTGATATGGCGAATCGTAATTCGCACGTAGTACTTCAATTCCGTCTAGTAAAGTATTAGATTGATTTATTCCATTGATTTCAAAACTACAAGCTAAGTCTACAACGACAGGGTCGGAGTTTAATTATACACAGTATCAAAATGATGGATAGTTATTATGCAATACTTGAATTAAATGTTTCATATGTAGCTAAAATAAATTGTATTTTAATGAGTCTTTTTCAGTTAATGTATTGATATATATGTGATGTATCATAATGTTCACACAACTAATGACTGAATATGGTATTTTATTTTTAAATTTAAGAATATATTCAATGTCACACATCAAATTTTGTTTATTTCAAGTTAAGATGGTGCTGATTTTTTCAGAAGTCATAACTTTTTACTCGTAATGAGTTATATGACCCATAATATATCAAATCGAAGGTATTTCAGAGCTCTACATTCTTGAACTTTCAACGGGGTCGGCTGACCACCCTGACCCTCTGGCTCCGCCCCTGTCTACAACTCTACAAGAACACAATAAAAGGAAAAGGATAATCAATTCGGCTAAGGATGTTTTTATTTGGACTGTAATCCGTCACAGGCCAGACCAGATCAGACTAGACCAGACCAACAAATTACAATCCAAGTAAAAACATCCTAAATATTCACGAACCATTAATTATTAAATTAGATCGATCCCGGGTGCTAAATATATGCAACATTCACTTTTTGTAGTTCGATATATGATAAAACGGATAACAACAATAGAACAAGTGGGCATAATTTGTTTGGAAAAGAGGAAAATGTCAATTGAGTACACCAACTTGTATGAGGTGGAGCGAAGAGTACACTATATTGCATTTGATCTTTTTAAGTACACAAACTCGGATTTTTAGTATTAATTGAGTACACTCATTCGATTAACATGCCAATACAGCTGAGTTGGCTAACAGAATGTTGAGTAAGAAGGGGTTACACTACAAAAAAACACGCGTGTAGTCACGGACAGTAGTCACGGATTTGATCCGTGACTAGTTTGTCACGGTCGTAGTCACGGACTAGTCACGGACTTTCAAAAAAAATAGTCACGGATATGACCGTGACTACGTCCGTGACTAAAAATAGTCACGATTATATCCGTGACTACTTTATTCCGGCCAACCTACGTTTGCCTCCGGCGGGATTTTTTTTGAATTTTAAATTAGTCACGGTAGATCCGTGACTAGGCCCAAAAAATAAATTTTCCAACGCCCAAAAGTTAATTCGGACTGGTAATCTGTACGGACGAACGTAGTCACGGACACATCCGTGACTACATCCGTGACTATTTTTTCCATATATGAAGCTGCTGGTTCATCCACATAAACACACAAACTGTTTAGAAAAACAACAGAAAAACAACACATTGAAGGATGTAATCTAGCCATCTTCTATCATTTTCTCTGTTTATGCAAATAAGGTATGTAATTTGAATTACGTTTTTTTGTGTAAATTATTTGGTTCATATTAACTGTAGTAACAAGTTAAATTAGCTAGAGAGATTATTAATTATGTAAATTTCATTTAATTTTGTGAAATTTGGTTAGTTAAACGTAGGTTTAATTGTAGTGACGCGTTAAGTTAAATTAATTAGCTAAATTAGTTAAATTTTTGTTAATATTAGTTAAATGTAAATTAAATGCATTTAAAAAATGTTTTTAATTAATTAACGAAATATATTAAATAACATTAGTTAAACGTAGGTGTAATTCAAACATAGGTTAAATGTATGTTGTTAAAAAATGTTGTTAATTAATTAACGAAATAAATTAGTTAAAATTAGTTAAACATAGGTGTAATTCAAACATAATGAATTAAGTTGTATTTAATTCAAATTACGTAAATTAAAATAAATTATAGATGATATTAGTTAAATGTAAGTATTATTTAATTCAAATGAGTTTATATATGCTTAAATATAATTATAGGATTTGTTTATTAGCAATTATTGTTAATGCCTAATTTAGGATTTATAATGATTTAAGTTAGGGTTAATTATTGAGAAATTACTTAATAAGTGTGATAAATTAATATTGTGAATTATGTGAACTTCATTTAATTTAGTGAAAATTAGTTAGTTAAACGTAGGTTTAGTCGTAGTGACGCATTAACTTAAATTAATTAGCTAAATTAGTTAAATTTAAATATTAGTTAATTCGAAAATTAGGAAAAGGTTGTTAATTAATTAACGGAATAGATTAGTTAAAATTTGTTAAACGTAGGTGTAATTCAAACAGTCACGGATTTAGTCATGGACAAAATCCGTGACTAAAAGAGTTAGTCACTGATTTTTTAAACTAGGGTCCGTGACTAAATCCGTGACTACAACCGAATTTTTTTGTAGTGAATGGACCAAGGTTATGGTGCCGACCTTCACGAAGTCGACCAAAAAGGAAAAATCGACCTTCGGAGGTCGACCTGCGGGGGGCTGACGTTGACCAAGGAGAAGTCGATGGAGTGTGTGGGTGCTGGCTCGACCTTCAAGAAGTCGACCTATTAGCACACAGACTTAAGATTAGTCTGCACCAATGAGCCACCATTTTGCGGGAGTATATAAAACTACTCCGTATATCACACCGAACACATGAAAATACAAACTAAATATATATAACTTTAGACTACTTTTGGTATAAAGCTGACCTTTTAGAATGAAACCGAAGACTTATATTAATACCGTCAAAGATCAAAGTCAGCTATGAATAACATGATCGTTCACAACTGAACCGATCTAACCAAAAACTTGAAAATAGATCAGGCGAACCACGTAACCATAATTGATAAACAAGTAATGATATGAGCAAGTGTAATGACTAATGAGTTTTGGATTGATTTGTCGTATGAACAACACATAAATTCAAATACAAATCATTGCACATATGACATATCATCAATAATACTATCCTCCGTTCTTTAATTCTTACAACGGTTTTACTCTTACATTTGCTAACACACAACTTTGACTAATTATATTTAATTATGTATTAGTAAGCATTATAAAAAGTTGATATTTTGGATATTCACATTGATAGGAATTCAATAACATTTTGTACGTAATTATTTGATTATGTATATTAGTAGAAAATCATGGTCAAAGTAAGGTCTGTTAATAGTGTAAAAATCTCAATATTGCAAGAATTAAAGAACGGATGAACTTTCTATTTTTCGTAGTATGTCTAGTTCAATTCGGTCCAATTGAGCAATGGTAAATAACGAGTACCCCCTTATATATTTAGTGAATGGATTGTTAACACTTAACACACGAAGTCAAATTGTAGTTGGTTAAAAACTCTTACGATGGAAATGTTTCTTACGGTATTTTGTAGCACTTTGTCTTTTTCAATGGAACCTTTGATTTGTACGAAATTCTAAACTCACCAAACTTCCGGATTGAGGACCCCCTTAATATTGAAGTAGACTTTTGTTTTTCTTCCTCATGTTTTCTTTCTATTTTGTTTTTCAATTTTCTACTTCACAAGAATTTTTTATGTTTAGGAATAAATGTTCTGAACTCCTCCGTAGTAAACAAAATTCTATTATAATGGAGTAAATACTAAAATAAAGATGACGTTTTACTAGTACTCAACCTTTTGTTCCATAACCGTTAAGATAATACTCCGTATTTTTTATTTTTGGTCTCTCAAAGTCTCAACTATGGATTTTTGTCAATTGTGTAGTCAACTAATTAAATACTGTTATCATAAAAGCGAACTAGCCCATAATATCATCATAATTCTGAATTTCTGACGGGCCGGGGTGGCTGACTGGCTGGCAATGACGGACAACCTGTGATTACCAGCTGCGACAGGCAACCTGCGGTGGCCATTGAGGGCTGATGTTAATTGTTGTGATAGGTGGGAGATAATTCATTTAATTTTTTCTGAAAGGTTCATTTAACTTATTGTTGAAAAATGCATTGAATTTCAATTGAGCAAGTAAATGTAATTAAGAATAAAATAAGAGTAAAGATAAAACAGGTACTCGTAAAATATAAGTGTTGAGGATCGATTCGTCTTCCGGTTCAGGTCTTCAACCCTTTAACTAGACTCACACACACCACACTAGGATAGGCCACTCCATCTCACCATGTTTTCCTCTCACTCACACTCCACAAAGGAACTCTCACACTAAGGAAAGGAGGAGATACACTCTGCTCAAGGTTTTTGTGCAGGCTACGGTTCACAAAGGAGGAGCACAATAATATAATAGGCAGACTGCCTATTATTGCTCACGAGTATTATTGACAAACAAGGGGGCTCCAGACAAGTTGTTCAAAGGTAAGATAGCAAAGGGCCAAACAACACAGCTCAATAATAATGGGCAGCGGACAAGACAAACAGAGGCAAGGTAATTGGACTGGAGTATAACAAGTAGGACTAAACATAGGGTGCAAGCCCAAAATAAAGTGGAAGGGAAGTCCTGGTAGGACCAATACCTCCAACATTCTCTACCTTATTGGTCCTAGGTGTTGTAGAGTAGCAATACAAAGTTGTGAGGAGACTCATCATCGCCGGACCATTACAAGTACATCATTGCGATCATACAAGTAATAGATGAGAACCAAAGTTCCCTTTCGGACCAAGCTTACCATGCAAACCCAATTCACGATGGACTGAACTCTACCAACTCGTCCTCGAGTTCAGAACCAAAACCATCACAAAACTATTAACAAGCACAACACATGTTAATAGACCACACAAGCAAGCATCCGGGAGAAGTTGGGGATTCCAACTAATCCAACAACCACACAAAGCAAGTACACAGAAAATAAAAGAAACAATATTATTTCTATAACTAGCACAGGTAGAGCTCACATAATCACTTGGTATCACATTTTCAAAACACAAAGAAAATAGCATACCAAATATCACAAAGATTTTAATTAAAAGAGAATTAAGCACATTTAAAGCAGACTCAGAGGAAATATAGTCAAACACATTGCACATATTATTTATCACATGCTTCCTAATGTCTCTATCTCTAATAACATGGCAATCACGCAACTCAAGCATATTGCACACAACATTCATATCATGCTCCACCTTAATAGAAATATTATTTTCTTTATTTTCAACATGAAAATCATTTTCATTCACAAATTTGGGTTTGGTTTCAATAAGTAAATCGGAATGAACTTCAACAGACAAATGCTCTACCTCATTCGGAGCAACATCAGGAGAAACAAGCAGGCAAGGAAATTCACTTTCAACAAAAATGACATTTCTACTCATCAACACATTGAAGCAAGTTTCACTCCTACACCAAAGCCTATAACCTTTCATGCATTCATGATATCCTAAGAAAACATATTCCTTAGTCCTAGGTTCAGATTTATCATTCACACGATTCACATAAACAGCACAACCAAACACTCTCAAATTTGGCAAGTCAAGTGGTTTGCCCGTGAACACAGATTCAGGGCATTTCCCTCCTAAGGGAACAGACGGGGACATATTAACCAAATCAACAGCATAACAAATAGCTTCCCCCCAGAACTTATTAGAGAGCCCAGATGAAGCTAACATAGCCCTCACCCTCTCTAATAAAGTTCTAACCATCCTCTCAGCAACCCCATCCGGTTGGGGTGTGGAGGGAACAGATTTATGCATAGAAATACCCCAAGTATCACATAAATCACCAAACTGATCATCACAGAAATCAAAACCGACAGTGGTCCTTAAAAAATTTATTTTCTTACCGGTTTGTTTTTCAACAAGGGTTTTCCAGTTTTTAAACTTATCAAAAACTTCAGATTTATTCTCAATCAACAAAACTCACACTTTCTTTGAAAAATCATCAATCAACGTCAGAAAATAATTTTTCCCACCATGAGTGGAAACACTATAAGGACCCCACAAGTCAGCATGAATACAATCAAGCACATCAGTACACTTAGGCAGATCAGGAAAACCAACTCTAGACTGTTTTCCTAGCACATAGGGTTGCACACAATTCACAGAATCAAGTAGGGGTTCAGCATGACAAACATACAAGTTGTTTTTCATCTCAGCTTTGAAAACAACTAAGCAACCCTTCACAACTTCAATGATTTCCTTTCCCCATTTTCCCTTCAAACCCACATTTTCAAGAGAAGCACAAGATAGCAAATTACAGTATAGCTCAGGAACATGCCTAACATTCTTCAAAGTAAGCACATAACCAGAAGAAAACCTAAGGCACACATCTCCTATTCCTAGCACATTGCATTTCTTCTCATTTGCTAAAGACACAAAGCCATGCTCAATCTCTCTATAGTTTGAAAAAACATTTTTCTACGGGGACATATGAAAAGTACAACCAGAATCTACCACCCAATCTGATTTACCCAAAGAATCAGATATCACGGAACTCAAATAGTCATAATCACATAGATTTTTTTATCATAAAAACATCACCTAAATCATCTTCACACGTAGTCAAATTTGCATGCTCGCTATGCTCATTTTTCTTTGATTTAGGACAGTCTCTTATGAAATGACCAGATTCATGACAATAATAGCAACGCCTCGAACTAGACCTAGACTTAGATCTATGTCGTCTACTATTATTTTCTCTACCCCTCACGTGCATAACTTCCTCGGATTTTCTACCCTCACCCATCTGTTTTAAATCTAATTCCTTACTCTTAAGACCATTTACCACAATGTCAAGAGTCACATTATCTCTACCATACTTAATAGCAGATTTCACATCACCAAAGGAATCAGGAATAGCATTTAAAAGAGCAATAGAGGAATAATCATCTATATGCTTATCACCACACAACTTAATATCCGAAATAAGTTTGGTAAAAACATCTAGATTTTCTTCAATATCTATAGACATATCTAGTCTAAATTTGAAGAACTTTTCAAGTAAAAATATCCGGTGAAGCAAAGAGGGTCTCAATATACAGTTCATTCAATTTATCCCACAGAATTTTAGCACTCTCTAAAATTCCAACTTTTCTAATCACAGAGTCAGATAAGTTCAAATAAATCACAGAACATGCATTTTCATTCATTTCAGCCCTTTTCTCTTCTATGTCAGAAATTAAATAGGTTTCGCCAATTGCTTTAAAACATTTTTGTTGTATTAAAATACATTTAATTTTTTGCTTCCAAATGCTAAAATCAGATTTTTCATTAAATGGAGTCATACCATACTGATTATAAGCAGACATTTTCACAGAGAAAAATAAGCAACAAAAGAAAATGTAAATATCGCTGAAAACAATTTAAATATTTATAAGGCTACAACTATACGGAGCAACTAGCACGAACACGCGGGGAGTATTAATGAGCACCAAACTCAACTTCAAACCTTTTGTTCTTCCGTATAAGCACAAATAAATAATAAATTTTCAGCACAAACACAATACAACAATTCAAACAATTTTAAAAGCAGTAATTAACCTAAAACAGATTTCTACACAATAAAAGATTAAATTACTACAAAAGCGATAAAAGGGATAACGGTCAATATACCGGAGCGAAACCCTAGGAGAGACGTTTCGACCTTACCCACCCAATTTTAAAAATTGGGATTTTTTTTACTGTTGACTAACTTTGACCAGCGTTGACCGAGCTTTGACCAAGTTGACCCAGCAGTTGACCGAGTCTATCCACTGCTCCAGGTCCAGCTCCAAGTCCAAGCCTAAAATCAGTCCGGCCCAAATTGTTGAAGCCCCAGCAGACCAGCGTTCCTTCTACTGCCCTGCTCCAGCCAGCATCCCTGCTCCAGCGTACAAGCTCAGAAGCCCAATGGCCTGGAACAGCCCAAGTCCAACCTCTAAGCTTCAGCGAACAGGTCCAGCCTCTAAGCTTCCAGATTTGACCGGCTCCAAATCCAACTCTTGCGTTCCAGCACTTTCTCCAGCAGCCGCAGTGTCCAGGTCCAAGATTCGAGCTTCTTCAGTCGTCCAAGTGCATCAATTGAACCGTAGCAGCGTTCAAGATTTCAACCGGCCCCAAATCCAGCTATTTACGTAGAGGTGTCCAGGTTTAGCTCTGTGGTCTGTCTTCTGCTTCGTCCCAGTCCTCTGCGTCGTATGAGCAACAATGTTCAACGGGTCCAGCTAGAAGAGACTTCCGGCGACGAGTTTCAGGCAGACGACGGTTGGCGTTCGATGGTAGCGTGCGGAAAGCTATCTCCGGCGACCACGGCTCCAGCTGAGGACAAATCTCCGACGAGCAACTCCCCTGTGGCGGCGAGCTTTCCTGCGGCGAGCGTCGAGCTCCAGCGACGAGTTCCGGCAACTCCCAGGTGACGAAGGTAGGCTGGCTCGATTTCAACAACCAGGGACCAAGGTGAAGGATGAAGAGCTCGTGCGAACGACCAGTCACCTTCATGGACCTCCGGCGAGCTCCAAGCGACGGCGACGGCGGATGGCGGCGGCGGACGACGGTGGCGAACGGCAACCAGGCTCTGATACTTGAGGATCGATTCGTCTTCCGGCTCAGGTCTCCAACCCTTTAACTAGACTCACACACACCACACTAGGATAGGCCACTCCATCTCACCATGTTTTCCTCTCACTCACACTCCACAAAGGAACTCTCACACTAAGGAAAGGAGGAGATACACTCTGCTCAAGGTTTTTGTGCAGGCCGGTTCACAAAGGAGGAGCACAATAATATAATAGGCAGACTGCCTATTATTGCTCACGAGTATTATTGACAAACAAGGGGGCTCCAGACAGGTTGTTCAAAGGTAAGATAGCAAAGGGCCAAACAACACAGCTCAATAATAATGGGCAACGGACAAGACAAACAGAGGCAAGGTAATTGGACTGGAGTATAGCAAGTAGGACTAAACATAGGGTGCAAGCCCAAAATAAAGTGGAAGGGAAGCCTTGGTAGGACCAATACCTCCAACAATAAGGTATACATGTTCCTATTAGAATATGATCATTAGGGATAAGTACAATGGGGGAGAGTGGGGGTATATATAGCTACATACATGGGTCTGATCAAGTACTCATGGGCTCGGGTTAGGAGGAGAAGTGTATATTTATACATTTCATAACACTCCCCCTTAAATATACACTACTAAAAAAATACATAAGGAGTATATAAAAATACGCTTAAGGGATGCTGCCTCATTAAAAACCTTGCCAAGGAAAACCTTGTGGGACAAAACCTTGGTAAGGAAAAAAGAGTGCAGCGAAAAGTCCGATCGATGTGGTTTGAGGGAAGAACGGTCGATCGATGATGGTGCAACAAGTGAAGAGGAAGGCGATCGAGTGAAATCCCCCTTGTCGAACGGAAATCGAATTGATGGGCCCTGTGAAGTAATCGATGGAAATCGATCGAGTGAAGGAGGTTATCATTATTTTGCGATCCTACTTTTGTGGGGAGGAGCAGTCGTGTTGATAATGTATTAGAATATGATCATTAGGACTAAGTACAATGGGGGAGAGTGGGGGTATATATAGCTACATACATGGGCCTGATCAAGTACTCATGGGCTAGGGTTGGGAGGAGAAGTGTATATTTATACATTTCATAACAGTTCCAAGTAATTTCTGCTTTTTTAGATGAATTATCTATTTACACAGGGAAAATAGGAGTGTACACAAATAATGTACAAAAGAGATGTACAGATAGATATTTTCATAATTCATTGATATTGCTCCGTATATTTTTTTGGATACATCCAAAAGGATTTCATTCCGTTGGACAATATGATCAACCAAAAATGGAGAATACACTTTCAAATTTGTATTTGCATACAAATAAAAAGATCGAGGAGATCAGATGAAGGTGTATATGGAAAGAAGATGAGCCGAGGTATCATATAAAAATATAATGCGTATGTAGATGCTATGAGGGAATTAGATTCAAAATTAATGAAGGATAGTAAAACTAGAGCGCGATCCATAACACATATTTTCAGCTTATCAGTCCTATCAATTACTCTGTATTTTTTATCAAACACGTGATTTTTTATTTCGCGTTTGAGTTTATAATTATCAAAAAAATTAAACCTGAAGTTATTTTTCTGACTGAATTGACTGAAATTAGTCAAATCACTATAAATGGCCATTATAAGTATGTTTCATATATGATTTTTCTTTAATTCAACAAATTCATCCAATTCATCCGTTTCATACAACTTTTCATCAATTTCACCTGATTGAATAAATTCAACAATTTTAGTATTACCAAACGGATCTTAAATTGCTAAAAAATTGCTAAAAAAATCGAATGAACATTTTATAGGGTGCATTATAGGGTAAATAGGAGAAGAAAAATCTTTGTTTGGAGAAAAACATATTACTCCATATTACTCTATTTTACTTCTATCAAAGACTATTTCAAAACATAAAAATTATATTTATCTTGGGTGATTGATAGGTTAAGAACATTTCTTTCTCTTTATTGAAGAAAAACAATTTTGAATTGCGTGTTGGATTAAAATGTTAGATTTTGCAATTAGAAGGTGATATGGTGATTGGTGAACCGTAATTTGCACGTAGTACTTCAATTCAGTCCAGTAAAGTATTAGATTGATTTATTCCATTGATTACAAAACTACAACTCTACAAGAACACAATAAAAGGAAAAAGATAATCAATTCGGCTAAATCCTCACGGACCATTAATTATTAAATTAGATCGATTGCGGGTTCTAAATATATGCAACATTCACTTTCTGTCGTTGTTCGATATATGATAGAACGGATAACAACAATAGAACAAGTAGGCATAATTTTGTCCTAAAGGCAAGCAACCAATAGATTTTCCCATCAAAGATCACCTTTGTTTGGAAAAGTGGTACGGATATTTCATGGAACCCGCAATAATCAACACACCCACTTGCTGAATTAATGAACTAGTCCTTAATCCTGATTAATCATTGTAAATTACTAAATTTACAAAAGGCTAGCTTAGATTAGAATGTCCTAATTGAGATTAATATAGCTGAAATGTTGGAAAAACATAACCTTCAAAGAAATGGAAGAAGGATTTGCACGATTAATCGTGTGCAACTGATCATTAATTAACAAAAAATATAATTAAGATCAAGTAAGTAGCTAGAGTGAGCAGGATATAAACTGGACAAAAGACAAATGATGGATTAAGAAAATTATCAACTGCGGCTAAGCTGTTCGTCTTCACCGACTTTGATGATCACCTGGGAACAGGGAGGCTTCAATGGAACCCACTTGTACCGCCCTTCCAGAGGTACGTCCTTCTCTACATCGTAGTTGTACCTGCAGCAACCATATAGCACCGATCAAGTACTTACCAGTTACCACGTAGCATTGATCTCATCACTCATTTGAAGATGTTCGAAATTTCGAATAAATTAAACATACGACTTACTTTTCCATGAACAAATTTTGCTGGTACTTTTCAGCAGCGGAGAAGAACTCTTCAATCTCTGCCGCAGACGGTGTATTATCTTTGCCGCCTGCCGATGATACTTTCTCCGCCTTTGATATCTTCTTCGAGCAATCCACCTCTGTTCCTGAGTCTCCTTGGCTAAGTCCAGTTATTGCCGTCGTCTCCCCGCTGCAAAACAGATTAAAACCATACGCCTTCAATTCCTCTGGAATCTCCATTGCTTGCAGATTGTTTGTTCAACACGATACAACCAGAAACTCATTTCCCGAACTTAATCGAGAAATTCTGATCAAGCAATGCAATGCAATGTACCTGAATTTGCCGGTGCTGTTTGCTGTATCGGCCGTCTCAAAACCTTTCTCCTGAAAATTCAAAAATCAAATTCCAGACAAGCAATAAATCTGAGCAATTTAGCATCAGAAGTTTCAGAACTTAGAGGCAAATAATCTGAAACAGAAATAAATTCACACGGAAGGCTGTGGCTGAATCCTCACTCACCTTCAGATCCAAAGCTTTTTCCTCCGCGTAGCTAGAGCCCTCGCACTCTGAAGCCGGCAATGAAGACGCCGGAAAAACAGAGCACTCCGACAAACAATAGACCTCGCAATGATCGGACGGAGAAACAACCTTTCTCCGCTTACTAGAGCTGATGATCGTCACCTCTCCATCTTTCCCCCGGAACGCAGCAGCTCCAGCCTCCACCATCGCAGCCATTGGCGTCGTCTCCGCCATCACAACCCGTTCGCATCTCAAGTACGCTTCCATCTCCCTCTCTCTCTATATCTCTCTAACAGAACTGTGGAAAGTAAAAACGAACAGTACGCATATATGCGTGTATTTATATATATATAGCTTGGGATTGGAAAGCGAGTGATTCTTGGCACTCACTCACACCGAAGAGTGAGAAATTAGTTGGAGAAGAAAAGTGAAACGGGGTAAAACGGTAATTAGAGCGAAGTTGTAGGGGTAAAATGGGGGATTCGTGGGTGAAGAGATGAGATCGGACGGTGGAGATTGAAAGAGACGGTTAGAAAGTGGACGAACGGAAATGAAGAGAAGAAGTGGTCCTGAGGCTCCGTTTGCAGTGGCAGTAGACATGGGAATACCGTTGAGAGGGGATATATATATACAGACATGTGCAGTGTGCATGGCAGATTCATGAGAATGATTACATATTTTGTAGCCAATCACCGAATGCAGCGTGGACTGGGTAAACAGAGACCTGGTAAAAAAAAAGGAAAAATTGATAGTAATAATCCCAACTATTGGCGGTCCGCTCATAATAATCTCAACTATTGATTATTACAGAATAATCCCAACTTTAGGGACCTTCCGCCAATAATGGTCCCTATGAATAAATTCTTGTAGTTTCTAAAGTGGATGAGATGAGATCTAACAAGTAATCCCTATAAATAATCTCAACTTTTAATTTTTACGCTTAATTTCTATTTAAAATTCACTTTTTATAGAGGTAATATATGGTCATGGACCAATATTGGCGGATAGTCTATATAGTTGGGATTATACAAAAATAATCAATAGTTGGGATTATTTTCAGCGGACCAGCAATAGTTGGGATTATTATTTTCAATTTTTCTTAAAAAAAATTACTCCCTCCGACTCTGTCCCTAATTTATCTTCCAAATAGGATTGACACACAGTTTAAGATAGTGGGCATTGTGTGGTGGAGAGTTGTGCAGAGGAGAGAGAAATATGTAAGAATTGTTGTGAACCACAAATTCTTTGCCAAAAAAGGAAAGTGGAAGTTTTAATTGGGACGAACGAAAAAGGAAAGTTGGAAGTTTATTTAGGGACGGAGGGGGGTACTATAAATATCCACATTCTTTTTTTAGTAAACATAATAAATAAAGGGAAAATGGAAACTAATAATCCACCTTTTCGTTATTCATGAATAATCCAACTTTTGCACCTCATCTTCATTCACTGGTCCCCGACCGGTTGATGACCTGTTATTCCAAGTTATTTTCTTATCTTTGCAAAATATTATCTTTGTGAAAGGTGGAATTTAAGGTATAATAGATTGCAGAGATAAGAAAATAACTCGGAATAGCAGGTCATCAACCGGTCGGGGACCAATGAATGAAGATGAGGTGCAAAGGTTGGATTATTCATGAATAACAAAAAGGTCGGACTATTAAAAGAAGACCGCTAAAAGGTTGGATTATTAATTTCCATTTTCCCATAAATAAATGAAGATTTTAAATTAATAAAAATCATATACTCCGTACGTAGTGTAGTACTACCGCATGTTATGTTTAAATTTCAAATCCCAATTATATTTGGATAACGGTACTCGTATGCGTACACGCTTGTTTATACGTCGAGTGTATTTTGTATGTGTACAGACAATTGATATCGTTTTGGTACAAAAATTGTTTGTAATCCTGAATTGTGTGTACATAAACAAAATATATTCAACGTATAAACGTTCCTGTAAGCAAGCATGTACAAATATCATTGTGGAATGTAAATGTAATTTCTGTTACTTTTTGTCTAACCGAAATGAGAAGAGCCATTTTACATGGAATGTGGGTGACGGGATCGGGTCAAAAAGGACACAGATTGTTCTTTTCATTTACTCCGGACATTCATGCTGATCAAATGATTGTGTAGTACGTAGTACAATTTAGAGAATATAGTGAAGTTTAAAGTATAAAGCTTCATTGTTTACGTACTATGTTATAACAATATACTTCTAGTGAATGATCACCCCAAGCTATGTTCGCGGTTGGTATTGGAAGTGTGTTAAGTTGCATTGAGTCTGCACCACAATTGATGTATTGAGTATATGGCGATGTCGGTAATGAATTGTGGAATAATAATTATTCACTAATGCTACTTGTACACGACATTTTACACGTCGGTTAATGGTCCGTGTACAGACAATTTGACCGACGTGTAAAATGTCGTGTACAAATGCAGTGTACACGAAACATTACTCATAATTGTTTATCAATGATAAATGTAGCTATCAAGATTTTAGGAGAATATATAATGATCACTGGTGATCAACAATTACATTTTTATGCGTTCATTAATATTTGGAAATAACAATATACTATGGGTGTATTCCTCCACGCCAATATAAGGGTGCACCGTGCATGTGTCAATATCCTCATATCCAGAGCAAGCGATTTGAGATTCTAGGTTTGCTTAGCTCTCGAATAGGACTACTTTTCCTAGTATATATGGACCTAGTTCATCTCATTCTAGAGAATTTGAAACTAAAAACGGTCTAACGCTCCGATTTTTTAACTATCAATTCTAGATATGCCTACTTTATAGTAAGTTTTTGTGTGCCTGCACGAGCTGTTTGTGTACAAAGACAATTAGGAGTGTGTACATTGTTAGTGTGCACAGAGATTACGTTGAAATGTGTTCAAATTTTGTGTAGAAATAAATTTTTCATTCATAAATATGAAACAGAATTGAAGCAAGCAAATGTCATCTACGTGCTTGCCAATTCAATGCATTACGACCTGCAATCCTCCAAATCCAGCTCCATCATATACGTTCATTTGTGTGCATGACAACTACGGAGTACTTCACAAAAATTATCCCTGCTTCATTTCAGACTACTTTACCAAAATTATCCTTTATTATTTATTAAAAAGTACTCCGTATCTAATCACGCATTAGAAATATGCCCTTGACGAAATTTACACTCTTTTTAAATGAGTGATTCACTATATCTTCCTTTTTTACCAAACGAGAATATTTCAACGTCCCAGTTTGTTAAGTTTAGCCGCCACAACAAATTTACCTCTAGACTAACTAAAAATCCGAATATTAACCTTCAGCTTGTTGTTGTTGTGGAGCATAGCCTGCATCTCCTTTTTCTCTTTGAACAAATCTCAATTTTCCTCTTGCATGTAGTACAATGAGAGGACATATATGCCCCTAAACAGGGGCGGAGCCAGAAAAATGACTCAGCGGGGTCGAAATCAAATTTACATAGAATAAAAACGGTAGATTATTTTTAGACAATACCCGAATTGAATGTAGCTTAGATAAATGCTAGTTTAAATGAAACTAATAGAATATATGTAGTTAATATACTTCGTATATGTCACATATATTATAAACTTGTTTTATACGGGTTGAGTTGAGTATCTCGAATGAGACCCATTTTCTTACCATAGTACTCTATGATTCTCTTCGATCTTACTCGGTTTAGTATCAAGATTTCTTACTAAAAAGAATCATTTATTCAGTAGGCACTTGTAGCAGTAAGATATGTTGTCTTTGCTATGTCTCTAAGTCATGTCACGTAAGTAACGAGTGAATTACACACTATTTTGTGAATATAATTAATATTACGCATCACAATTTTACTAATTTCAAACTTAAATAGTGTTGATTTTGCAGAAGTCATAACTTTTTACTCGTAATGAGTTACGAGAGCCATAATATATCAAATCGAAAATATTTCAGAACTCTACACTTTTAAATTTTCAGCGGGGTCGGCTGACCACCCTGACCCCCAGTAGCTCCGCCCCTGCCCCTAAACTATGTAAATTGTAAAATTACATATAAATAGTCGTAAGTCCAAATAGATGAGTGGTATCCCCTCAACTTTTTGAAACAATTAAATATTGTAAAATTATAACAAATGTAGTCGGAAGTCGAAATAGATGAGTGGTAATGTGGTACATATATTCTCAAATATGTACTTGTTTAAGGATATATTTGTTCCAACATTACAATTCGTATGTTTAAATCGTTGAAAATACTGGAGGATATACCCCGTTTTGGACCCATTTGTACCCATATTTGTGTGGTTCACCGTTCACAAAAGACAATTCTTTATAAATGGGGCAATTAATTTATGAAGGCCTTTTGTGAACTACACAAAGCCACAAAGGGTGAGGACAAATGGGGTACCCCAAAATGGGGTATACCAAGAATAACTCTTAATTGTTTAAAGTGATATATATGCTCTATAACTATACAGGTGGAAGTTCCACCTGTAATGGTCTGTAATGGTAACTGTAAGTTTCACCATGGATTCACTTCTCAGTATAAGCATATGTACTTCATATACCTCCCTGTGTTGTTTAAGGGCATTGCGTTTTAATTATGCTTTCTAGACAAACGACTAAAACAATCATCACCTTTGATACAAGGGTAAAGTACGCCTCAAATCCTCAATGACTATTTCATCCTAATCGCGCATTGGTTATAGAAATATAAGAAGTAAATAACGCAATGGGTGTGGGGTAAAATAAATTTCCTTCCAACTGTGTGATGAGACAATCAGAAAAAGAAAAGATTGCTCCTCTCAAAGTGCTCTTTTGATATGAAAGAAGTTGGGATATTCCTTGTTGGCAGCATCAACATCCACTGGTGATGCCACTGCAACCACAACCCCTTTATCTTTAACTGTTTGTATAGCATCTGCAAATTCCTTGAAATCGGACAACCTGAACACGTGGGAACAAAAAACAAGCAATACAGTGATTCATGGTTTCCTTGGAATTCAAAAGACAATTTTATCCACTACAAAGATGTGGATGCCATTTATGGCGCAATTTTGCAGGTAACAATGACTACACTTGACTAATCATTAAATCTCACAGTACTTCACATGTCAGACGCCCACAAATAAATAAGTGAATAAATAATAAAACTAACCAATAAAGAACTAAATAGCAATGGAAGTGTGTGTAAGTTTACCTTGTGGATAATATTTCTTCACGTCTCATTTCTCTTTCTTCTGGAGTAACACCCAATAAGTATCGAAGTAAACTGAAAGCAATGGAAACCATTAGAGTATGGGGGAATAGAAAGAGCACACAGTTGACTACTTCCTAAAAGAGGAATCTCACCATAACCACATTTATCTTAGCTAATGAACTCCACCAACCCAGCTTATTAAGCTTTTAAACTAATATCGCAAAGTAAAATAATTACATTGAAAAATAAAAGAAATCCATACAATACGGTTTGAATCTTATCAATGAATACTATCTAGCTAAATGAGCTTTACACAAGCTACTTTTCACCTTTGATGTTTACAGAAATCTGTTAGGAATAATTTTATTGTGTACAATTGCACTGAAGGGACTTTCAATATCAGATAGTAAGATACAGTCTCAAAATAAGAAATGCTCTTGAAGAGCTTACGCAATGCCTAATAGAGAAATCCTTTAGGATATTGGAGTTAATCAAAATTCTTACCTAGTATATCCTTTTGCATCAGGCAGCTGGTATGCATCAACATCCCCAATTGTACCAATAATTGCTTTCGTGAGAGCATCATCATCCATTTCAAGTTCTTTCAGAAAATCACTTGTTCCATCATACACATTAAGTGTTTTCATCAAATTTGGATCCCGATAAGACAAAAATGAGAAAACGCCTGAAGAAATAGACACAAAAACTCAAACTTTATTGATAAAAAAATGAAAGCAAGGAACAGTATTTGCAACTGACAGGCAAATAGTAGGGTATACCAGAGTGGGTGTCAAAATCACAAAACCCTCCATAAGCTCCACCACTGACTCGTACACGATCCCATAGCCATGTATTGCTTATGTGCTTTGAAATAACATATGCACTTCCTTTTAGTTCATAACCTGCTCCATATAGATTTGCCGCTTTCCCAACATAATTTACCTGGGTATGGATCGTGCAGGTTAATCATTTTTTAACCAAAGAGAATATTGCAAATCTTTTAACAATAATAAACGATAATAAATAGGATATAAACTTACTTGTGTAGGGACAACTATAGCTTCATTTTCAGGCGAGAGTCGTCCACTCCATGCAGTAGGTTCTTTTAGAGAATTATTATTAGGAAGCAAATCAAGGAATGAGCTAACATGTTTCTCAGCGGTCATTAGATTTTTCTGGTCAGCTGTTAGGTTAACCAGGCACCCATCTTTTGAAAATACAGATCTACGTATCTCTTCAAGAGATGACGAAATTTCTGGCCAATTGTTCTCAACCTTCTCTTCAAGGGTTCTCAGATATTCCAATTTACTGCAGGCACATTTAATGAGATCGTTATCTCTCTTAATTGGATAATAAAGCTGAAGAACTATAGCAGGTGAGCAGCTGAATTGCAAATGAAAAGGCAATCACTTCTAGATTCATAGTTTTTTCAACATCATGAGGTGAGTATAAAGGCCATGAACTTTAAAAATGATGATGTCAAGGTTTAGGAGCTCTATAATAATAAGTGTGTTTGAGTCATTATTTTCAACAGATGATCTTGTTTCAGAAACAAGAAATTAGAAGAATAAGTTCTTGAGGTGTTAGAAGAATTTCTGAAAAGCGATTATAGGTCCCAGAACTTATTAATTTCATAAGGATCCCATTCCATGCTTCTGAGGACCAGTTATAATTATGAGAATGACATCACATCACAATTCACAACCACAGTTATGTCAAACAATTGAGGCTGGTTGTCTTTTACATATAGCAGAATCAATGAAAAAATGTTCTTGAATAACCATATGCTCCCCACAAAAAAAAACATATCAGATTCTTAGAATCAGAACCACCTTTTTCTGTCGAGCAAACTATCAGCATGTTGTTGCACATACTAGTAAATTGAATCCAACCAACCCTGTATGGCTGTATTTAGTTATTCTAATAGGCAATGAATAGCTACACTAGAAGACAATTAAAGGATCTAGTTCATCTCAAAGACTGCATGCCATATCACAGGGTAAAAAATGCCAAGGCGGCAAGGCCCACCCCAAGTTTAAAAAATGCCTTAATTTTTAAGGTAAAAAATTTCATGTAAATTTTTTCCCAATAATAGTCTTTGTACCGGCCTAGTCCGGCACTCCGGCCCAGTGCCCTGGCTCCGCCCCTGGTATCATTCAACCCCACTACATATACCTCATGAAATATTGTTATGCATGTTGTGTTGTAGTGCATAATCAGCTAATTTAATGTTGTGATCATTTTCATGCCCAGCAAATAATCTACCAATTAAAAACAACCATCATATTTCTAACCTGAAGCCACCCATTTGTTCAGATAACCACCCTGCAGCATTAAGCTTTGCATCCATCCGAGCAGCTGCAATGCTATGCCCACTGCCCCTTAGTCGATTCTGGAATAAAAATGCAAAGAAATTAGATAATGGGAAATACTCAATATTGATGGAAAAACTCTTCTCCCAAGCATAATTATATACCTCCATTTTAGCTTTGCTTTGACAAACAAATTGCTTGAATCGTTTTTGGTTGGTGAGTTGGACATCTTGAACGATAGTGTTGATCTACACAACCGGTTTGAAATTTTCAATTATCAATTTTACTTGGCATTGCAGTTTGATAATAACATTCAAATAAGAATATCAATCTATTCACAATATAATCCATGTACAATGTTTCATATCATAAAGTTAAACCTGCAATGAAGGGGCCGGGATAATAAAGTATTTTGATTTTTTCATTTTCTCAATCAATAAAAGCATGATCCAATCTTCAAATTAGACAAATAAGAAGATATAACTATATAAGGAGCAAAGAATACACTCAAGGACAAGGTTCCAAACCTGAAATCACTTCATCACAAGAAAAAAACCAGTACGATTAAACTTTGCCAAGAGAACTTCATATACAATGTACAATCAACTTTCAGTATTCAGAAAATAAAACTCTACTCAAGGTTATCCACCCATTGTCCATGCTACCCATTAAATAATTCAGTCAAGTCCAGTAATGTCCAATAATGATTTGATGAAAGAGAGTGAACAGCAGAAATTCTGAAATGCTAGTTTGTCAAGTCACAGAGTAAGAATAGTTTTACTGAATGCCTCAAAACTTTCAAAAAATAACCATTTTCATTAATCACTTTTAATATGTTAATTTGCGTGAACCTATACTATTAACTTATTTTGGGCAGTTAATTGACACTGTGGTTTCACGAAGTTAATCGTAACATAGTTAGGGTTAAGGTGATAATGGTTGATGATTCATCACTTGCACTGACATGTGAAAAAAGAGCTTACCAAGTTGAATAGATCTTCAGTTTTCCCCGACATGGCTTTGCCTCGAACGATCATACGGCTACATGGATCCTCTGTGCCCCGCACTGATGAGGTAAAAGGGTACACTGAAATTCCTCCGGTTTTTCTTCCAATCAGCTGGTTCAGCTGAACAAAGTCCAAGTCCTTTGTTCCCATTTCCAGAAGTGACTGACTATTAAGCATTTAAGCCATTCATTCAAAAGGCCAATCGAGTTAACTTTTATGGTCATAGAACAAAAATATGTTTGTGTATATAACAAGCTCAATGTTCCCCAGGACTTTCAAAAAATCTTTCAGGAATCTTCACATCAAAAAAGCATTCTTAACATCCAATTTTTTACTATTTTTCAGCCAGTACAGCCGTACAGTAATGGATTTAGAATATAGTTTGTCTGTCTCCATATTTGACTGATCTCCCTTCTGACTTTGCACAGTTTTTAATAATATGAAAATTATGTGGTTAAAATTTGTTTAGAAGACAGAGAAACAATATCAAACACAGAATATTTTCGTAAAAAGGATGGACGGAAAGAAAATGATGAAGATAAAAATAGGGCAGAGGGTTTATATCATAATATCTATTGAGAGGACTTCCAGTATGTTCAACATAAAACTAGACCAGAAATCTAGGATAGGAAAGAATAAAGATGACAGTTAAGAAATAAGATAACTGCAGTTAAGAGAAAATAAAAGCTCCACTTTATATGTACATAACTTATTGAAGATTTCATTAGAATGAATAAAATAATCATTCAATTCACATTTGAACACACTACCAAGTATACACCTCATTGCATAATAGTAAGATGACATGGAAGAAATGTTGACTAGGCAACTCACCAGAAAAGTGGAAGCAACGGAACAAGCTCTGGCTTCAACAAGCTCATATTGAAAACAACTTCAGCATAAAGGATATCATTTGTAAAAAGGTCATGCCGCAAAACTTTTATTCCATTGATATCACCAACCTGGCGCCATCAGAACTTTAATAAGCTTTTGTGATTCAAAGATTGTCAAGCATAGAACTAAATACGCTATAACAGAAGAAACTCAATTACCTCAATCGGAACGTGTACAGGTTTTTTGGGAATATCTTGTAAAGAAAGACTTGGTACAGATTTCAGGGCTTCTGGTGGATCAGGTGTTTCTTGCTTCAACCGTAGCTCATTTGTAGACCGTGCCAACTCAGCAAGGTCCTCCTCTGTCATGCTTGATTTCACTTTATTCAAAACTTCTTTTTCAATTGCTTCATCACTTGAAGCCTTCTCAGGATCGGGCTGTTAAATAATAAATTACATTTTAAACACACAGCAATATGTATATTACCGGCTTTAAAAAGAAACTATTCAATACTTACATGCATCTCAACCGTCACACGGTGTGGGTTAGTCAAAATGAATTGTTCTATTAGAGGAGCAAAAACAGCTTTGGAGCCTTCTGTGGCTATTCGGGCTCTCAGGTCCGCGAGAGGTATCTTATACTTCAGTGGTTCAAAAGGATCCATGTCATAAACCCATTTCCCCTACAAGAAAATAATAAAATAAAATCAAAAGTGCACATTGACAGGAAAAGATGGTAAATAATAACAATTGAAAACTATTGCCCCTTACTATTGAGCGAAGCATCAATGCTAGCCCACGAGGGAACGAGCCAGTGTTGTTCTCCCTAAGAGAGAACTCAATCGTATTCATTGAAGCCTCCACAGCATCAGAATCAAACCCTTCTTCTGCCAAATTTTTTAAGGTGGTCATAACCAACTCTTCTACTTTCTGTATGTTTTCTTCCAACACACCCTTCAAACCAATGCTAAATTGAGGCTGAAGGAGCTCATCTTCTACCCCACCCCCAACAATGGCATCACCTAAACCACTTTCCAACAAGATTTTTCTTAAAGGAGAAGCAGGAGTTCCTAACAGTAAGTGATCCAAGAAACCCAAAGCAAGCTCAGTTTCTAAATCCAGGGGCTTCTCCGAAAGTAGCCAATTAATGCAAACCATGTGCTTTTTCTTGAGGTCGCCACCCTCACCAGCAGGATATTTTTCAACAACCCTGACTGGCTCAGAAAATAGCTTCTGTATTTGAATTTTAGACTCTAGGGGTGCTGAACTAGAATCAAACATGTCCAAATATCCTGTACAACATGGTTTAAAAAAATCATACTTCAAATTTTCTACAAAACTGCCTCCTAAAAATCCTAAAAGTATATAATCAATTTAGTATATTTCTATTTTCTAACTGTATACTCTTTCATATAATCAACTTCACAACAATCAAAAGAGAAGTAGAGACACTAAACCATTAAAAGGGTAAAAGCAAAACTATACAATAATACTACTATAGTTAATAATTGGTTACACATGAAAACTATAGCCTAGATTTGCTTGTTTGTTTGTGAGTTTGCTTGTTGTTGTTGGTAACTTAGTGTGTGTCTTGTTTCTCAAAGAGAACTTGTTTGCAACAAATGGAGCAGACAAAATGTTAATGCAAAGACATTGATCATCAGGAGTCAGGACACATTTGCTGATATAAGCTTAGGACTTCTTAACCATGAAATTTCATATATTCATTTTTAATGATATATTCATTTGAAAACTAGCATTTACAATGTGCTTCTAAACAATAAAAAAAATCAGCAGATTTAAGCACAGCTTTAGGATCACAGGCATGATATATATCAATCATCAATCATCATTTTATATCACAGGCATGATATAAAATGAAAAAATATTAATAATCAGTTTATATAAATGAAACTTCAAACAGTGTGTATCGATATTCACTGCTAATGTACATTTTTCAAACTTTTGACCTGACAAGAAGTTAGCAAAATAAGGAAGAAATGAAACATACCACTTAAGATGCGCAAACGCTCAGTAGGATCATCATCGCCGTAAAACCAGATTCTGGCATTGCTAGGATGGTAATATTTGCGGTGGAAGTCCTACATAATCATTTTAGGAAGAACACTGCATACTCAAATTTCATAACTTTTCCAGGCTTAACAGCATAAATAAGTAGAGTGTAGACCGACAAGTCGATGTGTCGCAACATTGCTAAGAATGTGGCAAGAAACCATGACAGCTCTGTGGTCATGCGGGTAAAAACGACATGATTCGGTCAGGGATGGATCCAGACTTTGAATTGAGTGGCATAAATTTGAAACAATACTATTTTATGTTATCTTGGCAGCACTGGGGTGATGGTGATGATGACTGTTTTATGTTATATTTGTTCCAAATGAATCTTATGTCTTGAAGATACACATTTTTATTTTTGCTAAGTCGCAACTGCTATAGTTCATGAGTTCTACAAATAAATTTTAACCTTTTTTGTTACTCTAAACAAAATTTTAGATATTTAGTTTGTCAAGGAATTCCTGTTCTATTTTCAAAAACTTGCTTCATTTGATCAAAACATGACCATTTTATGGAGATGAAAGATATTCAAAACAAGACACTTTTTGGGAGGGAATAATACATATAAATATATGGAAAACTGTCAAAATAAGTCCTCATACTATATTAAAAATGGAAATTAAACTCTTGTTCTGCAAAATCACCCAACCAAGCCATTGAAATCGTAAAAAGAACCCAATTCAGTGATTTATGCAGTCATCAACGATGTCCATGTGACGCTCTTATTTTTTTAATACCATTGTTTTTATTAAGGCTGTCTTCTTTGACAGTCTTGACTTTGCATTCCCTCTAAATTATACTTATATTTTGAAAGTATTATTTTATCTATATTAACAATTTAAATACATATTTTCAATAACTTAATCAACCAACCATTTAACAAATTATCTCCCATAGCCCCATGCAATTAAGTAATTTATTCTACACCAACTTTTGTAGATCCTCTTCATACTTGTTCAAGGAAGTTCTTTTTATGTCTCTACTATTTTTCACTCAAAAAAAACAGTTCAATGCTTTGATAACTATTTCAAAATGTTGAGTTATATTACCCATCAAAATGTAAATCTCAAATTAAACATAGTTAACATACTGTCAAATGAAAGAAAATTGATTAGTGAAAAATTCATAAGATAAGCCAATGGTTTCAATTAAAAAACATTTGAAATAAACAAATACACATAACTTCAAAGATGTTAATTGAAACCACACTTTACTACTTAGGTTCGTGCTTCATTCCAAGTGCATCCCCTAAAACATATTAATGCATGAGATCCAGTCATCTAGTATAATCATGTTAGAAAATGAACCACTTGCTCACCCTAAAACACAAACTATATCTATGTTCCACAACGAATCACAAACACATACAACAATGGGGTCTCAATCTATAATATAGAAACAGTGAATAAAGTGCTTTTTTAGTTTTAAAAGTAGTCTTGGTTGAATAACAATGCTAATAGCAGGTACAATTCAAAATATATGCTTGATAAAAATAAAAATATACTGTATAAAATAAAACTCAAGACATGCTACATTTTGAAACAAAGATATGTTAATAAATTATAATGCTGTTTTGATGGAAACACCATAGTACTTGCTACGCACCTTAAATTCCTCAAAAGTTAGCTTAGGAATGACCTGTGGGTCCCCACCACTATCGACTCCATATGTATTGTCTGGAAAAAGAGCCTGCAAGCAACATTAGTGGAAAAATTTAAACATGCATTTTCTTGTTCAAAACTGTCCATCCTTATTTTCTTCATTTTGCCGCACTGTATATGCAACATAATTAATTTAGAATGAGAAGATAGTCACTATGTATGTCTCAGTACTAATATTCACTCATGTACTCAGCCACTCAGCACAATATTGAGACATTAATTTTGGTGAACAAGAAGAAACCAGATAGGAGTTCATACTTGTTGGGACGCCCTGCCCATTAGACTATCAGGCTGTGAATAAACCCCTTTCATTTCATTGAAAACAACTCCTGAAATTGAAATACGGACAATTTATTATTAAATCAAAAGCAGACAGTTGGCAATGTATCTGTGTCTGAGAGAGAAATACCTTTATAAGTTATGTTTTCTGAAGGATCATTCAGCTCATAGTGCCAACCCTCTTGTTGAAATGTTTGGAAGTCCTCCACACATTTGGGGAAAAACACAGCATCTAAGTACACATCTACCAAGTTATAGAAATCCTGGTAAGAGATCAGTATGTATTGATTAGACATTATTTTCGGGGAAAGCATTCCATTTCAATTATTATATTCCAGAATATCTGACAGAACACTACACCTTGGTATTTGTTGAAGCAACAGGATAGCAAGTCCTATCAGGATAGGTGAATGCATTGAGAAAAGTGTGTAAACTTCCCTTCAATAGTTCAACAAAGGGCTCTTTTAAGGGATACTTTCTTGAACCGCACAGTACACTATGTTCCAATATATGAGGAATTCCAGTTGAATCTTTCCTGAATAGCCACACCCGCACTACGTCTAAGACTTTAAGTTACTAATAGTAACAAATAAATTCCTAAATATTTTCTAGTATCCATACGAATGAGCACTGAGACAGATTGCTTTATTTGGAAGCTAAAATCACAGTCACACCCAGAAACTATGCAAAATTCGGGTTGAACCTTTTTACTGAAAAAATATGTTTACTGGCATTTTTATGGTGAAAGAATTCTTAATTTAGCAATGAGGCCATTGCAAAAAATACAGCAACTGGTAAAAGGGTTCACTAATTGCACAGATTGCTAAATTTTAGATCAGGTAAGACCGTAAGAGGATACACTTACGGAGGAGTTCGGAAAACAATGCCAAATACTTTATTCTCATCATCATTGGAAACAGACATAATTTCTGCGCCTGTCTTCTTGTGCTTATACAAAACAGCTTTGGACTTACACTCATCAATAAACTGCTCACAAACTTCCTCGAACCCCAGCTTCTGGGCATCTTCAGAAGCAGCCCCAACAGCTTCTAAACATCACATCAAAACCAAATCCTAAGTACACCTGGGAGGGGGGTTATGAACCGAATGTCAATTGAGAAACACAGAGTACCTGGAGACAGATGCGGCGAGGAAGTGGTTGTGGCTTGGACGGAAAGAGAAGAAAATTGCCTTCTGAAGAGCTGAGAATGGGAGGTGAAGGTGGGGTTCAGCCGGAAGTGGCTTGCAAAGAGCGATGAGCGGCGACAGCGCTGGACGCAATGGAGAAGACGGTGGCGCTTGGGGGAGAGTGAACTAAATCGTACAATTTCATGGTAAGAGCGAGCAAAGATTCTGGAGCAGAAGAGTGGCGTAGTAGAACGCAGCAGGACTGCCTTCTCCATGATAGACTGAGGAAGCAAGGGTCGCAGGGAAATGAAGAAGATAGAAGAGTCTTGTGATGGGGTGGGTTTATGTGTGGCTTTTAATATTAACGGCGTTAACGGTGACTTGGGCCTGAAGATCAACTACGTAGGGATGTTCATGTCAACGGCAATTACCTGTTTACAGTTTACCACTTTACCCCCGATTCATTCATCAATGTTAGTACTTGCTTGAGTATATGGCAACATAAATTCTTCTTCGATGAGCAGTTATTTTTTATACTCCCGATGTAAATAGCATGTTCTTAAATAAGTGCAATAGTCAACATTTCACATTTACTGAGGTACAATTTTGACCATTAATATATATATATATATATATATATATATATATATATATATATAACTCTCTATTAGTAAAAAAAAATTAAAGAATCAGATTTTGAAAATTTACAATGAGACAAATTTAGTAATATATTTTTCAAAAATATATATTAATACCTCAATAAATAAAATGTAGTCAAAGTAGAACATGTGAATAGTGTAAAATTTAGCATGTTTCACTTATTTAAGAACGGAGACAGTATTTTATCAATCATTCAAATTACTGATAAAAAAGTAGTTGTTCATAAATGTGTGTAAAATGATCTGTATAAAAAGTGTGTACAAACAGTGGCGGGCCTAGAGCTTTTGTTAAGGAGGGGCACTGCAAAATGGATAGAAATGGGTCGGGTTACGTCAGGTGTGAGAATGGTCTATTCTATCTCGTGCAGACAATTTTTTAAAAGAAAAATAGTTTGTTCAATGTCGGTTCTAAGGAATGTACACTTGAGATTTATATGTCTAGCTTCAACCTATTACAACCATTCTGAACAATAATACTCCGTATTCAGTATTTTAAAAGAAAGACATGACATGAACTACAACTTAATTATCCTTGCAATGTTTTTAATTTTCATATTATAAACTATTAAGATTTGACTTTTACAATTACGATCGTGTCTAACATAAGCAATCATTTCATCATAATTCCACAGTCGTTTAAATGTCTTATAACGATTTCCATACTCTTTGAAGCTAAGGGATTATTACCTCATTTAATAGTAATACAGAGTATTTTTTATCCAGATATGTGGGACGCTATTTTTATCCTAAGTACTAATACTAAAATTTGGGATCGGAAGCGGGGGCATTTTCCCCCTATGACCCCCCTAGGTCCTCCACTGTGTAGTGTGTACAAATAGTTTTTCATATGAGAAAGTCTGAAAAATGGGACTTTCAACCAAAAGGTAGAATTGTCCACTACGGTCTCTGACACGATACAAATTCTAGATCGCACGGCTATGTACAATGATCCCAATTCTATGTCTTTATATCAAATTTTCTACCCTTAGGGTTTGTGAAATTTGACTAGGAAATCACTATTTATATTTATAGGAATTTTGGAGAATATTTCATAGATTGTGGTTTTATAAGAACGCAAGTAGGATTATAAACAAAATCAACTCTAATACCAACTAGGGTATTAAATCAGCCTCATTAGAACAGATACTATAATAGGTTAGAAAGATGATGGACAGTGTACCCGGGGGGTAGCTTATCCGAGGGGTTATTCGAGGAATAACCTAGAAAAAAGTCAGAGCAAACAAGTAGGAGAGAGAGTCAAATGTATTAGATGAACTCAGTGTGCTTTATAAGGGGAATAAGGGCTGCTATTCACAGCAGCCATAAATGCGATGAGAGTACACGTGTCAATAATCTAACGGTCGAGGGGTCACCTCAATCGGGGTGGCACCAGCACTCGCATGTGCACCACATTAAATGTGGTGTGTGGATGTGACGACGCATTAAATGCGGTGGTTGTCTGTGTCCAAAGGGAATCTTCGATAGATTCGCTGTAGCCGAAGGCTCCCCTGTGGCCGAGGGCTCTGTGTAACCGAAGGCTACCCTTATGCCGAGGGCGCCTGAGAGCCGAAAATTGTAAACACACTTGTGTGGATAATGCCACCTTAGATCGTGTGGCATTGATAATGCCAACCTTCTTCTTTAAGAGAACTCATATTGTTTCATCACTTCATTTCTATACACTCATACTTCTATTTCTTCTTAAAACATCTGAGACCATCATATTGTTTCAATCACTTAATTTATATTCATTCATACATCTATTTCTTCATAAAACATCTAAGAACAAACGTTTAATTCTTGGCTAGTCGTGAATATTTCGGATAACTTCAACAAATGACTACCATAATAATTATACATCCCAAACCTTCAAAGTTCAATAAAAAACTTACTCTGCATATTTTTCTAATATTTCTTTTGTATAGAAATATATACAAACATTGATATAAGAGGAAGTAACATAGTTACCAAAAGAAGCGTGTTCATGAGATAAATATAAATTGACAAAGAGAAGTTAAAATTAAAATGATATATAATCACATAAACATTATCAAATTTAGTAAGAATCAATATGGATCAAAACAAAAAAAGGAGACTATAGGTATTAAACTTACTCCTCGGTCCTCAACTAGTCAACTTCAAAATTTCAACGGCCTCATTATTTCCATTTCCCAACTCTTACACAAACTATTTGGCACATAAATACATTATAAATTTTTTATACACCATGAAAATCCCAAAATCCCAAGAAAGCAGGAACGGCACACTTAATGGGAAAGCTTAAAGATTACTAATCGTAATTCACAGAGCATTAGAAGGGGATTCAAAGGCTATTGAGGAATGAAACGGCCCGGTCCATCAGTGAACCCGCTTTCTCACAAGTCGGATTCAGTAAATGGAAAACGTGTTCCTCGCCTTCCACATCCACGAGCTCCAATTTGCCTCCCCACCCACTCTTCTTCAGCGCCTCGTAATATTTCAACCCCCCTTCTCTGACGATATCCTTCTCCGAAATAATCACCACGATTTTCGAGCACACCAGCCCGGAAAGAATTTCCGGAGAAGCCGCCGGGTTATGCAGCGGGTCATCCATACCCGTTGATTCCGGGTAAATGTACTCCCACACCTTCTCCCAGTCCAAGCACCACAGCTTGCTGGGTTTCCCGGTTCCAAAATACGGGTGCTCCAGAACCATTCCCGCCGGCTTCAACCCACTCCCACCTGCTCTGACCATCATGTTGTGAGCAATATTGCCCCCTGCGCTATCGCCCGCCAGGAAAACCCGGGTAAGATCCGCGTGACTTTTAAGCCACGGATCGGGTCCGGGTCCACTTTCCTGAGCGTGTGACGCGACCCACTGAAAAACCGCCCAGGAATCGTCGTAGCAGGCGGGGAGCTTATGCTCCGGAGCTAACCTGTAATCGACTGAAACGGTGAGGACCTTGGCTTTGGCCGTCAATGCGTGGAGATAGCTGTCGTACATAGAGGAGGAGGCGGAGTTGAGCACGAACGCGCCGCCGTGGATGTAGACGAGAACGGGGAGTTTTTGGTCCTCGTCGGTGATTTTGGGGAGGTAAAGGCGAGCCCAGACGTTGTGTTCCGGTACGATTACGACGTCTCTGGATCTAACGCCGGTTGCTGGGTTGTCAGATGCAGGCGTGAAGACGTGTTTGAGTGCTCTTTCGACGCGGCCATCCTCGTAGACGCGGAAAAGGGGGAAGAAATCGTGAACCACTTTGGTTGAGCTAGGAGAAGCCATGGCTGAGTGGAAGAGAAAAAGGGAGGTATCACTCATTCATTATTGATTACGAAGTATTTCATTATCTATCTATATACAGAATCAAAGTGGAAAAATGGTCAAATTTCTGCCCAAAACACGGTGAAAACACTCATCCATAATTAGTAGTACTGTTTATGGTATATGAAGTTGATATCAATTGTCTAGGTCAATGAGTGGAGCAATAATGGTGATATTGGTGAATAGTACTATCCTTTCGTTTCTTATGTGTGGTCTTCAACATGCCAGATTGTCAATGTACCTATAAAATGAGATGTACGGGTGCATGCATGATACAAATTGGTGAATAGTACTATCCTTTCGTTTCTTATGTGTGGTTTATACTTCTATCCTGTGTTCATATTGCAAAATTGGAAATCCAGAATTACTACGATGCCCACACCCTTCTTTCCTGTGTTCACATTCCTTGTGGAAGGACTGGAAGCCATCAAGCTTCTTCTTCCTCACCAAGAATTTTCGAAGGTACGGCAAAATTTGTTCATTGCAACAGTATACTCTTTCTTTTAAAAACAATAACGTCTTAGAACATCTCCATCCGTGCTTCTCCAATATTCGGTTTTTTATGTTTTAAGAAATGACATGTATATTACTAACAAAGTGTCCTGGATAAAATATGGCTAGTTATGTTTTTTGGACAAAAAATATGACTAGTAATTGTGTGCTAGTAACATCACATGAGTTACTATATTGTACTCTGTATTTTAGAGTGACAAGTCACTTGTAGATGACGAGTCACCGGAAACCAACCACTATATATGTCATTTTTTTTGAAAATTTTAAAATAAGTCATATTTTTGTTTTTTTGAATTTTATTTAGTAATTCATGCAAAAAGGCCTTTATGTTTTTCTCTTGCCATGTCAGTGCCATATACATAAAATCAAAGTTTACCAGTTCCTCCTCAACCATGATCTCTATTCATTTAGTTTTTATGGATTTTTTTGTTATTATCACAGAGGTATTATAGTCATTCCAACTTAAAAGACATTGTTACATTAAATGTGTTTATCGAAATTCGGAATAATCTAGGATTTAATATTTGATATTAGATTTTTATCTAAATAATCTCATCTTCCCTACCATAATTTCTAAAAAGATCTTCGACATTATCAAAATGATTCCCAAATAATCTCATGGATTTCAACTTTTCTTTAAACTTAAAAATTGTGTTGTGAGCTGTTAAGGTGATTTAGATTCAAAAAAGTATGATTGCCACCAGAATAGCACACCAATGTAATTATGGTATGAAGTTGTCTGATTCTGATTTAAACTCAAACTCACATAAGCTTTATGGTGTATTTGACCCAATTTACTTCTGTGGCAATATAGTCTACTCGAGAATAGGTACTCACTATTTTTTATTTGGTTCAATAAACGTTTGAGAGAAAAGGGCAAGGTAGTCAAAGTCGAGTGCCTTAAGCGCACCAGGCGCAGCGCACACAAGTCCCAACGCTCGAAGAACGATCAGGCGCACCGCCCTGACTAAGGCACAGCTTAGGCGCAAAAGCTATTCGCGCCTGATAGGGGAACATGTTTATTTTAAGTTTAGTGATACAGTTCAGACATGTCGTCAAATAAGAAGCCCCTATTTTTAATAAAGCCTGTCTAAATAAGGTCAAAACAGCATATACCTACGCTAAACAACACACTGTAAACCTGTTCTGCTCTACTCAAGTTACCTGTTCGCTCCTCCTCCTGTCCACCACATCAACTGCAGAAGTTGGCAGTAGTAAGCTTTCTTCTCCATGGTTCCATTTTCTTTCTTTTTTCTTTTTTCTTTTTTCAGTATCTACTTCTTATATATTCCATACAACTTAAACATATATATGTAAACTACCAGTATAATGGTCTATCATGTGCAACAACACTCTTCATTGTACCATTTTCTTTCTTCTTTACTTTTTTCAGCATCCTTCTTATATAGTTTATACTCTATTACTCTAGATACCTAAAATCTAATTATGTTTTATTTTTCAGTTTGAAAGTTTAAGACTTTAAGTTATGAATTCTGAATTTGGTTGTTTTTCTTCTGTGAATCATGACCTTATTTTGGTTAATCATGACTTTATTTTGGTGAAACGTGACTTTATTTGTGAGAAATCTGACTTTTTTATGTAGTTAGTTCAGTATGGTGTTATATACATCATGTTTTATTATTGGAGAATAGTATATGTGATACTTTCTAAGCAATGCGCCTGACTCGAGCGCTTTTTTGAGCCTTGTGCCTCAGGCACTGGGAATACCCTATCGCCTTGAGTGCGCCTCACGACTTTGACTACCTTGGAAAAGGGTCAAATAAATCCTTTTACTTTCTCTGAATCATCACCTAGGTCCGTGTACTTAAATAAGTATCATATAAGTCCGTATAGTAATAAAAAAACGGTCATCTAAGCCAATTGGCCTGAAGGTGACCTGATTTAGCAGGTTATTTGATTATGTGGTATGTTTTATTTTATTCTGATTTCATTTCCTTTTTTTATTTTTTATTTTTTTCACCTTTCTTCTTTCTTGGTTGCCTTTCTTAGTTGAAATATATATAAACTGACCCTGATTTTTCCATGGAACATTGAACAGTACTCCTTCATTCGAGCCAACACAACACTGAAAAATTATGGAAAACAATCTTTAGTCTTTGTTCTTCCCCGATTCACATCTAGGAGCAGTAAAAAGATACTCCCTCTGAAAAATTAGTGTTTCCATTTTCTATTTAGAAATGGTTACCCAGTACAATATCATCTTTACTTTTCCACCCGCCAACACTACTCGTAAAGATTTCCTTTACATGTGTTTCTGGTCTCTCTTCTCTATGCCCTACCCACTAGTCCATTACCACCCCCCTTGATATTTGTGCCAAAATGAGGAGAGAAAAGTAATATGAAACACATGGAGTTAAACTAAATGCAAAACTATACCATCCTTCCAAACAATTATCAATCTGATGGGTAGTGAGCAATGTAGTTGGTTATGCCAATGCATAAGTAGCAAATGTGGCACAACTTTCTTCAGTGTTATCTGTTGTTCCTCCAACCTAACAAAGTTGGTAAAACAGTGAGTAATATAAACTGAAACAAAAGAAGTGCTTCTACATATAATGAATACTGATTGATGATGACAAACACAAAAAGAGGTCAAATATGTGCCAGTACCCATATGACAAAAGTAAGGTGTTTTCATAATCACTCTAGTGAAAAGCACTGTTGAAATGTCACTTAAGAATATGTTTTGAGGTGTGCCTCACAGTGAGGCATTCAGAATAGGTGTTGACAGTTGATGCTTACACCCCAAAGTCCCACAGTCAAGGTGTTTGCCTTGGGATGTGTCATGGGCGTTTTATTTGGTGTGAAATTTTCTTTTACTGTGAGACTGAAATTAATAATATGACCCAAAAAGTAAACCTCCCACAGATTTATGATCTATATTATGCTTCAAAATTCCCAAATTGTATCATTAGAGTCTTTTTATGTTAAGAACCTTGGATTTCAAATGTTCCATCTGTATGTTTGTGTGTTTGAACTTTCATTTTAGACTATGGTCTATGTTGTTGTGATCATTTCATAGGTATGATTATCTTTATCTGGAACTTGGTAGTTTAAATATTAACAAAAAACAGTTCATATACTTTGAGGCTTATGCCTCACCTTTCAGCAGACCACCTTGATAACTGAGCTAACCTTTTCAAACCTCGGTGATAATTCAATTAAAGAAACAAAGATTACTTTTTTTGAACATATCAGTAGCCATATTACAAATTTCAATTACACTCTTATTGTTGAGTTCTCTACTTGCAAATATGGAGCATTATACATAAAGATGTGCCAGCACGTTTGTCCAAAACAACATATGATTCAGTCACTGCGATAATTCTAGACATCCAATCTATCTCGTAGCACCTGTTATTGAAACAAATCTAGAGCCCATTTGGTAGCCTAGTTTTTCGGCTTATAGCCAACCTTTTCACCAAACACGTAATTTTTCATTTCTTGCGCTGAATTGCGTAATAATAAGAAAAAGTAAGGTTGAAGTTACTTTTTTTTGGCTGAATTTACCGTAGAGGACCATTTTAGCTATTTCTACATATAATTTTTTCTTTCTTTTATTAATAAATGTATTTTAATTATAACTTTTTAATAAATCAGCAGAATTAACCAATTCAGCTAGGATTTCATAAATTTCAGAGGAATTAGCCGATTCAGCCGATTTTGGTATTACCAAACGAGCTCCTAATAACACTACTACTCTTCCTGATATAAAATACATAGCACGAAGTATATGATAACAAAAAACATCATGTGTACATGATGTTTTTTAATGGTGTTAATTGCAAATTATGTGCCACTTTATATTTAAGGTATAATTAATTGTGGTTACAAAAAAGCTTGTTTCAAATCAAAAGACATTCCATAATATGTAGATAGGAACACAAAGAAAAAGATAAAACTTTCCATATGTAATATGAGGCCAAGGATTACATATTCTCATGTGTGGAGACAAATCTGTGATGCCAATCACATTGGAGAGGAACTTACCACTAATGATGAGAATCAAAACCTTGTTTGGAATCTTGAGGAGCATGGCATTTTCACCCTAGCCTCTGCATATAATCATATAAGGGACAAGTCTGGCACGCTCTTTTTTTCTTATAAGCATTCATGGCATTCTAAACAAAAATTGAATATAAAAATATTCTGTTGGAAGGTTCTTAATCATTACCTGGCCTTCCCAGAAAATCTTAGCAGGTTTGGTTTGCAGCTTCCCTCGAGGTGTCTGATGTGCCTACAAGCTCAACAATCACAAGAGCATTGCTTATTCACTTGCTACAAAGCTATGAGAGTCTGAAATTTTTTCAAGGGCATGCTTCAGATAAGTTATACAGGTATGGAGCTCAGACAAATGCTTTTTTGCTGGTGGTTGGCTAAAGAATCATCGATTGAAGGTACGTTTAAGCAAATACTGCCAGGAATCATTTTATGGTTTGTGTGGAAGGCAATGAATGCTTGTATTTGGGATAATCTAACTTTTGAGGAAGAAGAGGTTATTAAACAAATACAAATTTCATTGCCAACAATGGTGTTTGAGCTACAAAAAAGCTAAGTTCATGACATTTAGTGAAAACATAAAATCAATGTAGAAATAGCTTCCCTTATAAACAGCGACTCATTGTAGATGCGGCCTTCAAGAATGGGAAATGTGCAGGTGGTGCAAATCCTCCGAAATCAGGATGGATCCTTGGTAGCTGCAGCGTACTTTCCAATTAAAGCGACGACAGTGCTCCAAGCGGAATTTGTTGCAGCGATTGAAGCTGTGAAATGGTGTAAGAGAATCAACATCAGTGATATACAATTGGAATCAGATTCAGAATCTTTAGTTAATATCAAGAATAAATCTCTTCACATACCTCATCTTGATACCTGGAACAAGGAACTTGGCACTCTGTGTGAGCTCTTGCAGGTGAAAATCAGACATGTTTACAGAGAAATCAATATGGCGGCACACACGTTAGCTCAGGAAGGAATGAAGAACTCATCGGCCAGATACTTTTTTAATACTCCGTATGAATGAGCTGTCCTTTTCGACGCTTCAGGCTCTGAGTATGGATAAGGAGGGTTTAGCCGAGCTGGTCGCAGACTCACTCTCCCTTACAGGAGGTCTCGGGTTCGAAACTCAATGGAGTGAGTTTCAGCCCTCATTAGTCCAGACCCTCCCCTGGACGCCCCCTGGAGTAAAAAAAGGAGGGTTTATTCTACACTTGCTGATACCTTACGTCTTTTTCTTATATCTTCAGTTTATTTCCATTAGTTTTCATTTTCTTTATTGCATTTTGGGATGATATGCCATTCGTGGAGGTTTTGGTTTGGCCCCCCTCTTTATCTCTATTCCTTTTATTTTTAATAAAATCCCCCTTTTCTCCAAAAAAATGAAACTTTCCATATTGCCATTTACTCTTCTTTGTGGTTAGCAGATCTTATACGGAATGTTTTTGTGCTTTCCTAACCGTTTTACCGTTAATCGATTCTCTAATTTTTAATACTGATGGAGCAGTAACTTCTTCATGTAATTTAGATTACTCAGATGTGAGTGGACTGTGGATATTTAGTATCTTATCAATTCGAAGTTTCCAATTGAACAATTTGCAAATGAATCATTGTAAACAAAGCTACCTTATTACTGTTTAATTGCTCAAATGTAGGGGTGGACTCGGGCCGGGCGGCCTGAACCGGCCCGGCCCGGCGGCCCGGCCCATGGGCGGTTCGGGTCGAACCGGCCCGGTGGCTACCGATTCCGGGCTCGGGCCTTCATTTTGGTGAACCGGCCGGTTCGGGCCCGGTTCGGGCCGTATTTAATTTTTTTTTTTTGATTTTTTTTTAAGCTTTTGGGTTGGATTGGGTATTTTGGGCCATTTGAGGTGGTTTGGGGTTGAGGGGGAGGGTAGGGGGTTGATTAGGAAAACCCCAAAAAAAAAAATTATATAGGCCCGAACCGGGCCCGGGCCGGTTCCGGGCCTCCCCTACCTTGAACCGAAGCCCGGCCGGTTCAAGGCCCGAATTGGGCCCGGCCCGGAACCGGTCCATCCCTACTCAAATGGGGGAATCAATTTCCACCTCCGAGGAAGAAGTGCAAGAAACATGGTTGGGAACGCCAAGTATTTGTTAGTAACTTTTCACGCGCCATCGGCTTGAACGCACAACAATAGACGAAGTTCCAATGTCTTTGTGCCATCTCGAAGTTCGTACATTTGAAGAGAGCTTACAACTAGGGTTGGTCTTGGGCCGGGTGGCCCGACCCGGAACCGGCACTGTTCTGGCCCGGTGGCCCGGTCAGTGACCGGTTCGGGTAGGCCCGACCCGCTGGGGTTCCGGTCCGGGCCCCTCAAAACATGAACCGGTCCGGCCGATTCGTGCATGGTCCGAGCCATTTTATTTTATTTTTCTTTTTTTTTTTAATTTTTTTCAAGATTTTGGGTTGAGTTGGGTATTTTGGGTCATTTGAGATGGTTGGGATGGTTTGGGGGTGAGGGGGGGGGGGGGGGGGGGGGGTGGTTAGGGGTTAATTAGGAAAAGGCAAAAAAAAAAAGAACCAAGGCCCGGCCCTTACCTGGGGTTACCCGGGCCGGTTTCGGGCCTCCCCTTTCTTGAACCGAGGCCCGGCCGGGCCCAGGCCCGAACCGGTCCGGGTCCATGCCTACTTACAACAGGTGAAGAATGAAATGATGTTGTCATTTAGTGGTTTTACAAAAGGTTTTTTTGATAAGCTATTGGACTCTGAGGTTTTACCAAACCATATGCACAATAATGGTTCCCACCTAAAATACTTATATAAATGTATAAAATTGGACTTAGAATTTGCTGGTTTGGTATGAACTAGTATGGTCTGATTTTGCAGATGTTTGGCCTATGTGTATTTCATAACTATCAAAGTCTTGTCTGATCTAATTGAGCTTGATCTATTCAGTGTAGTCAACGTTGAGAGCCTGGGTGCTTAAATGCATGGTCTACTCAATCGAATATATGGATGATTCGTGTGTTGCCCAGGATTAATTGATGATAATTGACAAATGAATAAATGTGGTATCGCTTTTCAAAAATTTAATGATCGACACACCAGTGAATATATTTATATTATCATTGAGTCTATTTTAACTGAATATAATTTGATTGATAAGATGTTTGCTGTTGGTTTTTACAATGCTAGTAATAATACTGTTGTTATACCTAGATTATTGCAAGAAATGTGTGGTCCTTTTACTTTGATGGGTAGATATTTTCATCGGCATTTTGCATGTCATATTCTTGATATATGTGTAAAAGACTGTTTAACTCATTAGGAAGTGTAATGGAGAACGTTCAAGGGGTATTATACTTATTTGGTGTAGTAGTCAACTTAAACTGCAATGACCTGCTCATTTGAAAGCTAGATGTATTAGATATTGTGTTTTTCTAAAAATTTATTCGCTAGAATAAATTAAATTTTGTACTTCATAGACTTAAAGACCATTTTATTCTTTTTAAAAGAAACTTGTAACTATATTGTAGAACCGATTGAGATCAACACTATGGAAAAAATTTGTATCGTTCTGGTTTATTTTTATAACCCAACACAAACCTTTTCTCATGTTTATACACCTACGGCAAACCTATTTTTTGTTGAATCTCTTAATCTCGCTGATGCTTTTACGGAATTTTCCAAAGCCCCTTACGTTCATTATTTTTGTGATGTCAGGAAAGAAAAGTTTTTAAAATATTAGGCCTTCATTTCGCCTATATATGGTATTGTCTTCGTTTTTTATCCGCGTTTCAAACTTGCTAGTTATCAAACATGTTTAGAGTAATATTATACATGTTTCTATGGTGAGTTGCCTATGTACGAAGATAACCTCATAGATCCTCAAACGCAATTCAACTAGGTTAGTAACTTATTTCGTAGTTTATTTAATAAGTTTCATGCACATTATGGTAACGTACCCCTCCCCCAAAACCAATTGTTTCTTCATCTAAATGAAAATCACTTTTTAAATGTACAATGGGTAATCTTTTGAAAAAAAGTAAATCACCTCTTATTGTTGCACAAAGCTCGATTAACAAGTTTTCTTTATATCTTACGTTTCCTTGTGGGTATGAAGAAGGGGAAGAGTTTGACTTTTTCCAATGGTGGAAGGAGAAAAAAGGAATGTTTCTAATTTTATCGGAGATGGTGAAGCAAGTGTTGTCAATGCCGATTTCAACGGTAGTCGTGAAACAAAAATTTAGCGAAGCCGACAACACAATAACGGATTATAACGTGATTGAGCGCACAATCTCTTGAGACACTCATTGCTTCCGCGATTGGTAGAAGACCCGACATAGAACTCAAGAACTTTACATTGCCCCGACCGCCACTTTATATAGAAAACGACAACCTACGCGGAGATTCTGACGATTAGCAAATGTATTTCATGTTTTAAATTATTGTCAAACCTCAATTGTAATTCATATTTCAAATAAATCTACATTTCATTTTCAATATCTACATTTCTTGTATAAATTAGGTAATTAGAAAAAAAGAATAAATTCCACTTTTTGTCCTACAAGTATCACACCAATTCCACACTTGGTCTACGTCTTTGATTTTGACAACTTTTGGTACATGACTAATGTGTTTTCATCCATATATGGTCCTTCCGTCAATGTTTCCAGTGATTAAATCGCCGAAAAAGAACCACAAATGATCAAGAAATATTAGTCAAGTATCAAAAGTGAACAAAGTGAATAACGTTGAGTAATGTCGCCTTTACATAAAGCTCATAGGACCAAAAGTGGAATTAATTCATTAAAAAAACCGTACTCAACTGACACAACTTGGACCGGTCCAAAAAGTGCCCGAGTACCCGGGACCAGAACTGGGACCATATCAATCCGGGTTGGTTCCGGGCTCCAATTTTTATGAACCAAACCGGCCGGTCCCAAGCTTGGAAGTCCGGAACCGGCTCGACCCGGATCCACCACTAATCCTACTTTAGATAGCATTAGAATTTGTCTATATACAAACTAGGGTAGAAAAATCTTCAGTTTTTTTAAGTGTTACGGAGTATAACATTTTTATTTATATTCAACTTTATAGAAATTATTTCAAAATTCATGATTTTTATACTCTTCCATATGACACCAATATTATATAAAAAATTTTAAAAAAAAGTTTTATTAGTTGCATATTTTGAGGTTCAATTTTTTAAAGTTAATTCAAGTGCTAAAATTATAACCTCATGGTTAAAATATTTTTTTCTACATCTCTGAGTTACTTTTTTCAAAAATAGATCTGAAGTAATAAAACAAATTAAATTTTGAATTTATTTGTTTTTCCATCAGAATGTATGACTTCTTAAATCACAAGTATTGGTAAAATAAAATGATAACATAAATGATGTGTAATTAAAAAAAGTAAGAATTTACATGTTTGATTAAAAAAATGTGTCGAGTGATATATAGACGATATTAGATTGCAGGGAAGAACTGAATTGATTGAGTTAATAAGAATAAAATGATGGAGGATTAAATTTATTTAAGGTTGGGTTACAATTAGCCTTAGTAATAAGCTTTTATCTATTGGATATTAGTCTAATTTAATTTCCTTGAGTAAATATTGATCTGGGATAGGATGATCAATCGATCATACCACTAATATTCTTTATAAGCAACTCCTTCAGAATCAATAGTTACACTATGAACACTACTTATTACTTCGTATATAATACGTATCACTTTATACATTTTTATAATCAAGTTCTTAATCACGCATTAGTTAATTTTCAGTGCATCGCAGAGATGATAATCTAGTTGATTCAAAGGCTATTAAGGAATGCAACAGCCCGGTCCATCAGTAAACCCGCTTTCTCACAAGTCGGGTTCAGTAGATGGAAAACGTGTTCCTCGCCTTCCACATCCACGAGCTCCAATTTGCCTCCCCACCCACTTTTCTTCAGAGCCTCGTAATATTTCAACCCCCCTTCTCTCACGAAATCCTTCTCCGAAATAACCAACATGATTTTCGAGCACAACAGCCCGGAAAGAATTTCCAGAGAAGCCGCTGGGTTATGCGTCGGGTCATCCATACCCGTTGATTCCGGGTAAATGCACTCCCACACCTTGTCCCACAGCTCGTGGGGTTTCCCGGTTCCAAAATACGGGTGGTCCAGAATCATTCCCGCCGGCTTCAACCCACTCCCACCTGCTCTCACCATCATGTTGTGAGCAATATTGCCCCCTGCGCTATCGCCCGCCAGGAAAACCCGGGTAAGATCCGCGTGGCTTTTGAGCCACGGATCGGATCCGGGTCCACTTTCCTGAGCGTGTGACACCACCCACTGAATAACCGCCCAGGAATCGTCGTAGCAGGCGGGGAGCTTATGCTCCGGAGCTAACCTGTAATCGACTGAAACGGTGAGGACCTTGGCTTTGGCCGTCAATGCGTGGAGATAGCTGTCGTACATGGAGGAGGAGGCGGAGTTGAGCACGAACGCGCCGCCGTGGATGTAGACGAGAACGGGGAGTTTTTGGTCCTCGCAGGTGATTTTGGGGAGGTAAAGGCGAGCCCTTACGTTGTGTTCCGGTACGATTACGACGTCTCTGGATCTAACGCCGGTTGCTGGGTTGTCAGATGGAGGCGTGAAGACTTGTTCGAGTGCTCTTTCGACGCGGCCATCCTCATAGACGCGGAAAAGGGGGAAGAAATCGTGAACCACTTTGGTTGAGCTAGGAGAAGCCATGGCTGAGTGGAAGAGGTAAAGGTTTTGTTGGTTTGAATGGGAGGTATCATTCATTCATTATTCATTATTGATTACTGAGTATTTCATTATCTATCTATCTATCTATATACAGACACAAAGTGGAAAAACAGTCAAATTTTTGCCAAAAAAAACACGGTGTAAACACTCATCCATAATTAATAGTACTGTTTATGGTGTATGATGTTGATATCAATCTATCTAGGTTGACGGGTGGAGCAATAATGGTGATATTGGTCCAATGGTGCTATCCTTTTGTTTCTTATGTGTGGTCTTCAACATGCCAGGATTGCCAGGTATACCTTCTACCTACAAAATGAGATGTACGGGTGCATGACTAATCCATCCATAAAGATTGTTTTCTAATTGGTTTATACTTGTATCCTGTGTTCATATTGCAAATTTGGAAATCCAGAGTTACTACGATGCCCACACGCTCCTTTCCTGTGTTCACATTCCTTGCGGAAGGACCGGAAGCCATCTAGCTTCTTCTTCCTCGCCAATAATTTTCAAAGGTACGGCAAAACTTGTTCATTACAACAGTATACTCTTTCTTTTAAAAACAACAACGTTTTAGAGCATGTATATTATTAACAAAGTGTACCCCGATAAAAATATGACTAGTTATGTTTTTTGAACAAAAAATATGACTAGTCATTGTGTATGAGTAACGGCGCATGAGTTACTATATTGTACTCCGTATTTTAGAGTGACAAGCCACTTGTAGATGAGAGTTACTGGAAACTAATCACTATATATGTCACTTTTTCAAAAGTTTTAAAATAAGTCATATATTTGTTTTTTGGAAAAAGTGTCAAATAGGCCCCCTACTAATACGAAAAAGTCAATTAAGCCCCCGAACTCAAAAAACACCCAATTAAACCCACGAACTATAAAAAACGAGGCAAAACAGCCCTTTTAGCATGTAATTAACCGGTTCCCGGTTCCATTAGTCCACGTGCCGCCACGTGTTACCATTTGTGGCCACCTGTTGGCTGTCGCCACGTGTAAAGGTTTACGTGTAAATATTTTTTGTATTTTATTTAGTAATATTTATGCAAAAAGGCTTTTATGTTTTTCTCTTTCCATGTCATTGCCATATAAATAAATTCAAAGTTTACCATGATCTCTATTTATTTAGTTTTATATGGAGTTTTTTGTTATTACCACAGAGGTATTATATTCATTTTAAATTAAGAGACATTGTTACATTAAATGTGTTACATTGAAATTGTTACATTGAAATTGGGAATAATCTTGAATAATCTAGGATTTGATATTTGATAATAGATTTTTTTATCTAAATAATCTCATCTCGTCAACTATAATTTTTAAAAAGATCTTCCACATTATCAAAACGATTCCCAAATAATCTCATGGATTCAACTTTTCTTTAAACTTGAAAACTGTGTTTTGAGCTGTTAAATTGATTTAGATTCAAAAAGTATGATTGCCTCCAGAATAGCACACCAATTTAATTATGATATGAAGTTGCGTGACTCTGATTTAAACTCAAACTCACCTAAGCTTTATGGTGTATTTGACGCAATTTATTTCTGTGACAATATAGTCTACTCGAAAATAGGTACTCACTGTTTTTTATTTGGTTCGATAAACTTTTGAAAATTTGATTCATGTGAGGATTGTCAAATGTTTTTTATTTACTCTGTTTAGATAGAGACCTATCAATTTGATGATTTTTTTTTATTAATGTCTTGTTTGTTAAATTGTTCATATTTTAATTTTTGAGTATTGTTGTGGAAACACATTTGGTATATGCCAGTTTAGAGGTTATATACATTATACTAAAAGGCGTGAACAAGACTATGCAAGTATTTGAACGATGGAACTTCAGAAAGCGATTAGTCCTAGAACGTCAAACAGAAAGCAGAGAACAAAAATTCAAGGGCAGGTATATGTTGTTTTCATTTGGTATATGATTATCTAATTTCAATGTTTCCGTTTGGTATATGATTAGATATTTCAATGTTTTTGTTTGGTATATGTGTTTTAAATAATCATTGTTGTGTTTCTTATTTGTTTTGTTGCGATATTGAACCAAAATTTCTGATGTTTGGTCACTCTAATTAAACAAATAAAATATAGGGTAGCTATTAGTGAATGATTGTGTAAATAACTAATTAGAACACATAGTGTAATTTTTTCGCAAACATGTATCACCAACATAGAAGTGTGTCATGGATGAATAATATTAGGAGTCATAAACAATTTTTCCTATCATCAATTTTGAATTAACCATTTAAATAACCAAATACTACAACAGGCTAATCACGAGTAGAAAATAGTTACATTATGGCAACTTTAAAATATGCAGATTGTAAGTGCAATTATTTTTGTACTTGGTGTTTAAAGATGGACAGATTTTGAGCACACTATATGCGCATACTCAATTTTGCGAAGATCAATGGACCATAGACTTGCGGAACTGAAGGATGAGACAAAGCAGATGCTTTCAATGGCACACACATCATGACAAAAAGATTGAATGAAGGACTACATGTAGCATATTTATGACACTTTTATCTTTTGTAAAAAGAAGTGTTTGAAAAGTTGTTAACTAACCATTACTAGTACTACTGGGTATATGTTTTTAATGTATCATCTTTATAGTTTTAATATAGTTTTGCTTTTCTATAATTCTCATTGGACAATACATTATGTGCATATCATTCTATTAATTCAGTACTCATAGTAATTAGTTACTTCTTATTGTGTCATATAGCACATGTGAGAATCTACGATGAAAAGATTTGTTGGTATTGGGTTGAATGGGTTCCCGCCCAACTCCCAAAATAGAGATTTCATGGAAGGTATTCCCCAAATCGCTAGTAATCGTTACACTCATTACACTCGATAATGGTTTTCTTTTCATTTCTATCTTGTAAAATTTTGTATACTTATTTACAGTTATATATTTATTAATTTCACTATATTTTTATGTGTTAGCGACTTATCGATAAAAGAAAGTACTTGTAATAGTTAAAATATTTGTTTTCTTAATTGTTAACTGACGACGTACCAGAATTGCACCGATTGAATATTATTGATTCTTCTAAAAACTTCTAGAATTGAATCGATATGGGATTAACGAATCGAGTGGGGTGGGGGTGGGGCAAGCTGAAAAAGAACAAAAGGAGGGGGGCTGAAGAAGAAGAGGAAAGATGGAATGGGAAGGGGTGGCTTGGCTAAAGAAGAGGAGGGTTGGGGAGGGGAGGGGAGGGATGGGGCGAGACGAGACGGGATGAAGAACCGATATAAGAAAAGTCGTCAAAAATCTTTAGTAAGGAGAAGAGACAATTGCAGAGAATTAATGTACTAAAAATGAGTTAAAAGTCCACGAGAATTCATGATTTTAGAAGTCAATAAGAATGAACGGAACTTTGAATACGCCTAGACTTTTATAGACTTTTAAAAGTCTACATTGAATACGCCTAGACTTTTATAGACTTCTAAAAGTTCACATTGAATACACCTAAACTTTGAAAATCCATTGACATCTTAAATTTTGTCACTAATTCCTAATACAACACACCACCTTACATCCAAAAACAAATGATACCACTTGATATCATTTGTTTGCCACATGTTTTCCCGAAGGATTTGTATAGATCTTTCTACAAGTCTGAGCTTAACAAAGTGTGTGATGAAAGAACCTGAATGGAGACAACAAGGAGTTTGTATGTGTTCGTGTTTTGCTTGATAAAAATGGACTAGAAAGAAGAACACATGTCAGGGAAGAGGGGATAGCTGTTCTGGACGTATTTTAAATATGAGAGACTCCCAAATCTTTGATTTATATGTGGAGTTCTAGGCCACATCGGTAGATATTGCCCTTCAAACACAAGTGTGGGGCCATGGGTGGGTGAAAAGCCTTATGTCCCCTTATGCGGGCAGACTTGCGACAGGGATGAGTCCACTCGGAGAATAAGTGGCTAATTCCGCGTGCAAGGCGTGAACTTAAAAATACTCCGGGAGATAGTGAGAAATAGGGGCAACTGATAGGAATTCAAGAGAAGACTCTCGAGGCGAGATGCTATTTGGTTCAGGGGCTAATCTGAAGAGGAAAAGGAAAAGTGGGAGAGGAAGAAGAGCCCACTCAAGCCAGGGTCCTCGACGAAGGGGAATCTAGGAAACGCAGGGCGGTTGATCGACTTGCAGAACGTGGTGGAAGTTGAAGTTAGCATGGAGATAGATGGAACTACTCCAAAAATACGACTCTGGGGTGGTGCTTCTGGAACAGCACTACCTGGAATACCATTGGTTGTTGCCAATGGATATTTCCTTTGGAGGTGGCTAGACAAGAATCATCTTCCTTCCCGATGACCGATAAATTTGGAATGGTGTCTGAGGTGCTTGATCAAATCTTTTCTTCTTGCTGATGGTTGGAAAAACCATGAGTTTGTATTCTAAGGATGTTTTTATTTGGACTGTAATTTGTCCCAGACCAGACCAGATCAGTCCAGACCAGACCAGTTCAGACCAGACCAGACCAGACCAGACCAGACTTGGATAGTTATAAAAATACAAAGAAACCAGACCTTACCAGACCTTACCAGACCAGTTCAGACCAGACAGACCAGATCAGACCAGACCAGACCAGCAAATTACAGTCCAAGTAAAAACATCCTAATTGTTATGTTTAGTTTAATAATTCTAGTTTTATATCCTATTTTAATAGCAAATACAACGAAATGTTATATTAGTCTATCAAAATGCGCGGTTAGCGAACTTGACGTGTCTTAAATGGTTGGTAGCAAGTGTTTTCTTAAAAACAAATTGAGGATGTTTTTCTTTTGGATTGTTTTCAGTCCCAGACCAGACCAGACCAGACCAAACCAGACTTAAACAGACCAGATCAGACCAGACTTAAACAGACCAGACCAGACCAGACTTCCGTAGTTATAAAATACACAGAGACCAGACGTTTACCAGACCAGTTCAGACCAGACCAGACCAGACTTAAACAGACCAGACCAGACCAGACCAGACTTAAACAGACCAGACCAGCAAATTTCAGTCCAAAAGAAAACATTCTCATGCTATTGAGGAATGAAACGGCCCGGTTCATCAGCAAACCCGCTTTCTCACAAGTCGGATCCCGCAAATGGAAAACGTGTTTCTCGCCTTCCACATCCACGAGCTCCAATTTGCCTCCCCACCCACTGCTCTTCAGCGCCTCGTAATAGTTCAATCCCCCTTCTCTGACGAAATCCTTCTCTGAAACAAACACCATGATTGTCGAGCACACCAGCCCGGAAAGAATTTCCGGTGAAGCCGATGGGTTATGCGTCGGGTCATCCAAACCCGTTGATTCCGGGTAAATGCACTGCCACAGCTCCCACAGCTTGTCGGGTTTACCGGTTCCAAAATACGGGTGGTCCAGAAGCATTCCCGCCGGCTTCAACCCACTCCCACCTGCTCTGACCATCATGTTGTGAGCAATATTCCCCCCTGCGCTATCACCCGCCAGGAAAACCCGGGTAAGATCCGCGTGACTTTTAAGCCACGGATCGGATCCAGGTCCACTTTCCTGAGCGTGTGACGCGACCCACTGAAAAACCGCCCATGAATCGTCGTAGCAGGCGGGGAGCTTATGCTCCGGAGCTAACCTGTAATCGACTGAAACGGTGAGGACCTTGGCTTTGGCCGTCAATGCGTGGAGATAGCTATCGTAGGTGGAGGAGGCAGCGGACTCGATCGCGAACGCGCCGCCGTGGATGTAGACGAGAACGGGGAATTTCTGGTTCTCGTCGGTGACTTTGGGGAGGTAAAGGCGAGCCCAGACGTTGTGTTCCGGTACGATTACTACGTCTCTGGACCTAACGCCGGTGGCTGGGTTGTCAGATGGAGGCGTGAAGACGTGGTTGCGTGCTCTCTCGACGCGGCCATCCTCGTAGACGCGGAAAAGGGGGAAGAAATCGTGAACCACTTGGGTTGAGCTAGGAGAAGCCATGGCTGAGTGGAAGAGGTAAAGGTGTTTGTCTGAGTGGCTGATAATGAGGCATCTTTCATTTATCGATTAATGGTCAGTTTTTTCAATTTTCTTATAGCCGCCTCTTTTGATTTGTCAATTTTAACTGTTTATCTACATAACTATCCTAATTGTTCATTTAATGGTCATATTTATCCATTGTGAAACACCAGCAAATGGGATTGATTTTGTGGTTTTGAAAAGCACAAAAGTTTGCTCACTTGATTTGATGTGCTCATATTGTCTTCGATAAATAGTTTAACCCTCTTAAAAGTAAAATTAATATTTAATATAATATTTAATATCTAAACCAATGTATTCACAAACATATAAATATAGATTTCCATTCACCATGTGCCTGCCATCCCCAAATATCTAATTACACTGCCATTCTTACTATTGTTTATGGCTATAAATCCTATAATAGTGTTGCCTTAATTATAAGCAGTTATATTTCTACTATAAATTAGGATAGTTTGATCACTCAAGCACCCCAAATACTCCAACAATGACAGTAAATATTAATAGAAATAGCATGTGTCTCTCACCTAGATTGTTGAGCATGCTAGGAATCCTAGGATCTTCTTGATTCATGATGAGGCAAAACAAATGTTTTCTAAGGAAAAATTATACGGAGTACATCTTATGTCATAGCCTGAATCTTTTTTTTCATGTATGCCTATAAATGTCATCGTACATGCAATTTCGAATTCATATTCATGTTAGTATTGATGGACTACTGTGTGTATATTAATTTCTTATTTTTCTACATTTGTATTTATGCTAGTTCAGAAAAAATGAGAAGAATCACAAAAAGCATCACGATCAACTCTAAGTGAAGTGTTGAGGAATTGGGTGCTGATGAAGCCATGAAGGTATGTATTTGTATCTGTATATTAACATGTACTTAACATTGTTTAAGTTTGTTTGTTGCATGTAGGTAAGTAGGTATTAGGATTTTAGAGTAATCTTCTGGTCAGGAATTTCCTAACCGGAACACTGCCCGACAACAACCATGTGAAGTGTTCTGGGTGGAATTTTTTGATGAAATTCTATGAACATGTTCTCCATAAAGTGTAGATTATATCATTGGATAATCTATTAGAGAAGGATTAAATATTAATTTGAGTTGCTTAGAAATTTAGAATATACTAAACATTTTATTTATAATTTTTTTGTATAGAAATTTATGCTACCCTGTCCCTTAACATCATACTTCCTATCCTACTATATTCAATGGAAAATGAGTCGGATCTTTTGAAAATTCTAATCCTTCTGTTACGTGGGTTAGGTCATTAATCAAAAGATGACTTGCAGGTGTTGTACATTCCAAGGTGTTGTACATTCCAACTGCACCTGCACCTGTGAGATGATATTTTCTTGCTGTTCCCTTGAAATCCAGCCTATCAATATCTCATAGGAGAGAACAATTTTGTTCACCCTCATTGACGAGGGTGATGTTCTATGAGGGTGAACAAAATTGCTCTCCCCATAGGATCTCATCTTCTTGGAGCTGGCTTCCCATTTCCCCATATGCCAAGATCTCTTCGCCCATAACATCATCCGCTTACTGGTAGGCCATCTCGCATTTGAAACAGTCCGGGAACACATCAAGTATTCCATTTCCTGCAAGGCTGCAAGTCGATGTCCATCCACGCCCTCGTGTTAGCCAGCAATGAGAATTCTCTTAATGCTAAGTGTAACAAATGATGAGATGGCG